AGAACTGACATGTGAACTATTTTTGAGGGGGAAAAAAAGCTGAGTTTGAGATTTATTTATTTATTTATTTTTAAATTCGGCTATTTTGGCTTACAACAGAACTGCCAGTACAGAGATTTTTGTACAAATCAATACCCATGTAAAAGTTATTTATGGGTTGCAGTTTTTTTCACTAAAAAATTAAATTTTTCTTTTTTCTTCTTTTTCTAAATTTACATTTATTTATTATTATTATTATTTATTTTTTTACATATCATGCTGGGCACTGCATGTAAATTAGATTAACACTGTGCTGTATGGGTGCACACATCATTTCTGTGCAGATGCCGAATGAGCGTGAAAATAATTCATTTTTAACAATATTGCCCGAACACAGGCGTGTAGCAGAAGTAAGTGATATATGTGTTTTTTGTTTTTTTTCTGGCCTTCATAGCTCCTTTTACTACAGAAAATTTGTCAATAGTAGCTTTAAAATTTGTCAGTTTTTCCCAATTCCCAATTTAGCAAATGACTCCAAAATGTTTAACATAAGAAAGGGTTATCATCTAAATGTCAGCAGTGTCCATAGATCTTAACACTATTACACTATTCTATAGCTGACACAAAGATTTCACTTGTGACTATCATACTTTATAATATAAAATGTGCACTGTTATTATCTGCCTGACGCATGTTCATGAATGTTGAATTAACTGGGGAGCAACTGCTGTTGTGGCGTTGCATGCCTATTTGTTTTTCTGCAAGCACAATAAAATAAAGAATTAAAAAAAAGGTTATACAAATATTAATATTGCACATTTATCAGTGTTTTAGTGGCTAATCTACTAAATCTTTTTACTGTTCCTTTAAATTTTAACTCATGAGTGTCAGCTCACTTAAATTAACAATAGGACAAATTATATTACCCTTAATTTTTCTTAACTTTTAGCATAGATCTGGGTATTATGTTGATTTATATCTAATCTGTTTCATAATGGGTAACTGTTCTCAAAGTCCAAGATATACAAGCAAATTGTTAATCTTCAAGATTTTCCTATTGTCATTGTGTGTGTGGATATTATTATACTGTCATCATCAATTAAGTAGAGAGATTAAGTAGTGAGGCCAAGGTTAGATAACATCACAAAAACAAACCCTTATTTATTTTCCTTAGTTGATATTTACCTTAAGGATGATGCAATTCTGGGCACAGGACCTGGCTGTAAAAACTGACATGTGCCAAAAATGAACACACTAACACACGTGTGTATTCAAAGTGAACTTAAAATCGGGGTTCTACTCAGTGCTGGTTGATTCCTCCTCTTCTCGGCCTCATTCATAATATGGAGTGTACATTTTTGCCACTGGAAAAGCCCTTTGTTTTATTCAAATCGTTCTTACACAGTTGGATATTAAACTGGGCCAAAACACAAGGGGAAATGGAATCTAGGCATTTTAAATACTATAAGGTAGCTGTAGTGGTTATCTGGCTTAGTGAGACCTTGTAAAGAAAATTGATCAGATCATACATTTTGCATATTAACACCAATTCTGTAAAATCATCAAAACTTTTTTTTAATCTCTTACCTCTTCACCACCTTAAATTCATTATGTGGCACCACTGCCAATGTTCTGAAATCATAAACCATTCTTATCCTTTTATCAGCTGGCTCAGAATATTGGGACTGGTTCAAAGAGCTCTCAGAGTACCTTCTCGTAAACCTTGTTCCTGGTTTATAGATTTACACAGATTGTTTTTGTTTTGTTTCGTCCTGTGGCGGAACACTGATAGACTTATTCATTAAACTGGCAGTTATGGAGAATTTACAAGGGACTTGCAAACTGTTAATAGACTAGTGGGTGAATTGTTGGCATATGTTGCCTTACCCAGTGGCATGTTGAATTCATTAAAATTGTCAGGCTTGCTCACGAAAGTCTGAATTTGGTCCAGATGGACAAAAAAAACACAAAAGAACCCCGCACTCAACCCCCCCCCCAAAAAAAAACACCTAAAAAAATAAATAAATACATTTCCGATTCTCATATTTAGCAACGGCAAATTTAGTTGGAATTCAGTTATTTCAACCAAATGAACACTATATTTGCATACTTCCCAAAATTTCAAATGGACAAAGAGGGAGACTAGAATTTTAGGGGTGTCACCAGGGCCAGGGTGGTTAAAAGAAATTTCAGGTGACTTACTAATAAAAATTTATGGAACTAAAATGAAATTTAGAACAAGAACAATGTATGTTATTTACACTGACTGATTTCTAAAGACATTTATTATAGTTAACCACTAAAGGTCCACATAACGGTCTGTGCCGTCATGCAGGGCAGGGTTTTAACGCCCATTGAAGGGATAGGCCGTTATGCAGTAATAATACCAGCAGGGTTAAATCTGTTGGTACCAACGAACCGCAGTTATCTTTTGATGCCTGTCAGCTGGGGCTGCATTTAGTGGCCCCAGACTGAAAGATAATTTATTTATAATTTTTGAAATTTTTTTAATACTTTGTCGTTTGTTTGATTAAATGGTTAAATGAAAAGTGTAAAAATGCTCTATAAATTTATGAATCTGTTTTGGGTTCTGTGACTTAGCATGTCAAGTTTTGCAAAGTTGTACCTTTAAAACTACCGTATATACTCGAGTATAAGTCGAGTTTTTCAGCACATTTTTTGTGTTGAAAAACCCCCACTCGACTTATACTCGAGTCAATGTCTGTATTATGCCAACTTACACTGCCATAATACAGACCAGGACCGCCGGGCTCATTACAAGCCCGGCGGTCCTGTTGGGGGCTGGCAGAGAGCTGTAACTTACTTTTCCTGCAGCTCCGGTCAGCTCCCTTCTCCTCCACTCCATTCAGCTCCACTGGAAGTCTCGCGAGAGCCGCGGCATCAGAGCGTTGCCACGGATTATCGTGGCAATGCGCCGCGCAAGACTTACAGTGGGGAGCTGACTGGAGCGGAGGAGAAGGGAGCTGACCGGAGCTGCAGGAAAGGTAAGTTACAGCTCGCTGCCAGCCCCCCTCCTGCACAGTACACACCACTGGACCACCAGGGAATAAAATAGCCCCCCTCCAGGCCAGGCAACAAGCAGGGAGGGGTGACAAAAACAACAAAATAAAAATGTAAATAATAATATAATATAAAAAAATGAAGAATATTTAAAAAAGAAAATGTAATATTACTGGTAAAAAAAATTAATATTAAAATAATAATAATAAAAAGAATAATAAAATGCCCACCCCCCACCAAGGTTACACACTCTGCATCACATACTCATACACACACACACTGCACTCATACACACACACACTGCATTCATACAAACACACTGCATTCATACACACTGCATCATATACACACACTGCATTATATATACACACACACACACTGCATCCATACACACACTGCATTCATTATATACACACACTGTAAATAAATATTCAATTAATATAATTTTTTGGGGATCTAATTTTATTTAGAAATTTACCAGTAGCTGCTTTTCCCATCCTAGTCTTATACTAGAGTCAATAGTTTTCCCAGTTTTTTGGGATAAAATTAGGGGTCTCGACTTATATTCGGGTCAACTTATACTCTAGTATATACGGTATTTGTTTTATAACTTCTACAAATGTAATTGTAATTTTAGACATATTGACATTTTAACAATCAGGACTAATCAGTAAATCTATTTTGAGTTAGATTTATTTACTTGCACTTAGTGTATATGAATTATGAAATGTAAAAATTTCAATATTTTATTTCTATTTACTATTGTATTGTGCATACATATAGTGTATCAGTAGAAAGCACTAATACGCATTGAGAAAATGATATGTAATATACATAGGTGCGCTTAAACAGAAAGGGTACAATTTATTATTGCTGTGGAACTCTGTTATAAACTCAGACATACAAACAATATTGTGCTCCCAGAAAAGAGGGACAGAGGAACTTGGGCCCAAAATAAGAAGTATACTTTCTAAATAGGGACACTTGGGAGGTATACTTTTGGTACAATATGGTATATCCTTTCAAATCAGTCATTCTTACTTAGGATCCTATTGAAAAAGAAGGATTTGCATATTTATTTAAAAAAAGAAAAAAGCTAAATTAAATCAGATTCACTCTAAACTAATCGAGTAGCAGGTAAATTCACAAAATATATTCACCTGACTTTTGCGGGTTAAAATACATAAATCCACTATACATACACAAGGGGTTAGAATAGAACAACAACAAAAAAATAATAATACTAACTTAAAGGAACACTATGAAGTCAGGAATACAAATGTGTGTACCTGACCCTATAGTGCTGAGTGTGGCAGTCCCAGTCAGTCAGTGAGTGCTGAGTGTGGCAGTCAGTGAGTGCTGAGTGTGGCAGTCCCAGTCAGTCAGTGAGTGAGTGCTGAGTGTGGCAGTCCCAGTCAGTGAGTGCTGAGTGTGGCAGTCCCAGTCAGTCAGTGAGTGCTGAGTGTGGCAGTCAGTGAGTGCTGAGTGTGGCAGTCAGTGAGTGCTGAGTGTGGCAGTCCCAGTCAGTCAGTGAGTGAGTGCTGAGTGTGGCAGTCCCAGTCAGTCAGTGAGTGAGTGATGAGTGTGGCAGTCCCAGTCAGTGAGTGAGTGCTGAGTGTGGCAGTCAGTGAGTGCTGAGTGTGGCAGTCCCAGTCAGTGAGTGAGTGCTGAGTGTGGCAGTCAGTGAGTGCTGAGTGTGGCAGTCCCAGTCAGTGAGTGCTGAGTGTGCACAGAGGAGGCGGGGAGGAGGAGGAGGAGGAGGCTCCATAGTGCAGGAAATCTCTCCTCACTCACTCACACAGAGAGCAGTGACCGAGCTCAGCCCGCGGACATAGCGCTCTCAGTCTGTAATCCCAGCCGGCACTCTCAGTCACTCACCGCCCACCCCCCTTCCTCCCCGGGTCCCCGGACTGCCATGTGAGCGCCCCCCTCTCTGGATCCCAGGGCTGGCCGGTGGCCGGGTGGCTGAGCATGCTAGCCGTGAGCCCGGGATCGGCCACATGACGTGGAGCAGCAGCATGAGCAGCGGATACAGCAGCCTGGAGGACGACTCCGAGGAGTTTTACTTCACAGCCAAAACCTCCTTTAAAAGGACCCCCTGGAAGGGACCCCGGGGCCAGCAAGTAAGTACACCCCCACCACGGGGCCACCAGCCCTGCGTGCCACATTGCCCACCCACCTGACATACTATGGCACGGTGACTAATGGGTTAAATTCTGGCACGGCGAGTAATGGGTTAAATTCTGGCACGGCGAGAGTAATGGGTTAAATTCTGGCACGGGGGAGTAATGGGTTAAATTCTGGCACGGGGGAGTAATGGGTTAAATTCTGGCACGGGGGAGTAATGGGTTAAATTCTGGCACGGGGGAGTAATGGGTTAAATTCTGGCACGGCGAGTAATGGGTTAAATTCTGGCACGGCGAGTAATGGGTTAAATTCTGGCACGGCGTGTAATGGGTTAAATTCTGGCACAGTGAGTAATGGGTTAAATTCTGGCACGGCGTGTAATGGGTTAAATTCTGGCAAGGTGAATAATGGGTTAAATTATGTAGCTGTGTGTACCTCTCTGCCCTAATCCCTCACACTGAGCTGTGCCCTATTGCATTACTAATGGGCTCCTGCTTATTATTGATGAGTTTTCCACCATGATCCAATGCTGACTGTCTGTACAGACTCTGGGTCTCTGGCTGATCACATACTCAGCTCTCACTGTGTGCTGGGTGTATCCCTGGCCACTTACTGCTCTCTTATAATCAACTCACTCAACAAGTGCACTGTGGCTGTCCTCACTTTACTGTATTTATTTTACAGCCCAACCAACAAAACAGCATTGTTTACACTCTCTCCTGCAAGGTGCAATCATGGTATCTTATAACTTAAATCACATGTTAACAAGATTGATGTCACAGTAGAATGTTCAGTTCTTTTGAAGGTAATGGGCTTATTCACTAAACAGTGTATTGTAGTGAATTCAAATCCATATTTGATACTTGGCTAATACACCCCCTTTATCACGTGTCACTCTTCAGTACAGAACCCCCCACGATGTTTTAGGATGGGATCGAATGCAGTGTCCATAGGGTTTGCAAAGACATACCCAGAAACCCAAAGGGAAATCAGACAAGTCTCCTGATTTTTATTTAATTGATTTATTTTACCACTTCGGCCAATACTGCCAGTATATAATGTACATCTTTGCTCTGTTCTTGGTTTTTAGCCTTAGAGGACTGTCATTGTTTGGTGACAGTTCCTCTTTTGTGCACCCCTGTAACCGCTATCGAAGTGAGGTGCACATTGGAGAATAGTGGTTACAATTCATCTTCTTGCCTTGCAATTCTCGTTTGTTTATATTCATAACATCTAGAGGTTGTCTCCCATATTGGCGTATTTTCTCTTATTTCATAAAACTTTACTTGCAGCGGAAAACAAATGCTAAATATTAAGATAACCGATCCATGCACATAAACAGTTTAGTTTACTTATTATAAGTGTCCCTAACGTGCGTCATTGTCGCCATGTTCTCATTACTGCAAATGTTGGACTGGAATAAAGTCTGTTGCAAATTTACATTCCAGCTGCAGTGTAGTATTCACAAAGTCTGTGTTACAGAAAGTATATATCAGGTGTGTTAGATCCTAGCGTATGGTAGAACCTTTTCTAACCCTTTTGTGGGCCTCTTCTCATAAGCCTGAACACGTCAAAGGCATACTGCTGCAGTAATTTTGACATCTGAGTGCGCACAACGCAACATTAGCTGCAGTAAGTTAAGAGACAAGTCGAGGAAGCAGGTTTCGTGTAAAGTACAATAGAATCACACACTGTATTTTGTTTTAATGGCTTTGCATTATTCACATGTGAATACATAATTAACAAAGTTTGCATGGTTTACAACCTCCCCTGTGAACAGGAAGAAGGGGGGTGGACCTAACAAGGGGTTAATTTTTATATAGGATTTAGATGAGTGCGTGTGTTTTTTTTTTTGTTTGTTTTTTTTGACTATAGGACATAGTTTGTTTAATTATCCTATATGGTGAACAGGTGTGTGACTGACCCACTAATCGACTAGGCTCAAGTGACATTCTGGCCTACTCATTGGCCTTTAAGGACAGTGAACAGAAAAAGACCCTGAAGGGTTGAAACGCGTTGTGCTAGCTGCTGTCAGCCATTTCTGCTTTTATTATTTTATACCAAATAAATGTTTATTTTAACACTTCACCTGGTTCCTGCTAATAAAAACTTATTACAAACATCTAAGAGGAGGATAAGATCCAGTGTATCCCTTGGTGGATGAAATACCTTTACAGTCCAGAGCCTAACTTATGTGGCTCTGGGAAGTGTGAGTGAACCTTTTTTATTCTCCACATATTGTAAATAGGTTTCAACAGTATACACTATGTTGTTTACTTGTATATATTATATATAGGGTCCACCATTACTGTCTGTTGCTGAAAATAGGACCTATACACGATTTCAAAGGTAAAATATTCCACTGTTTGTGCGCTTTCACCCTTTTTTTCTGTTCACTATATCTTTCATTTGGTGTAATAAGTGACTGTACACCGAGGGGTTTTTAAGCTGCACCAGTTGTAGTATTTTGTGTATAGCGCCCTTTTCCCTTCTATTGTGTATTCCTTTAAGGACAGTGATGTAGACTATAATCTTAGAATTTTAAATAGCCCTGTTGACACTGAGCCCCATGCTAGATTTGTGGTTTTCGCGTCATACTGTTGTTTTGGTGTACAACTAGTGTTTTTGTGGTGAAGCTGAATGCATAGTTTCTAAAAGTTGTATTTCAAGATATCCACACCCAAAAGTACAAAAGTCTTTTCTGATGTACACAGTTCATCCATCACTCTTTGTCATGTTGTCAGATCTTACCATGTCCGGACAAGGAGACCATGTAGGCCTGTAATGGTGTCACTGTACAGTGTGTTCCATATTCTATGTAGTAATATAGGTTGTAAAAGACTAAAGTTTAGCTTTTCACTTATTTGTATTCTGTAAAAAAAAAAATATATATATCTTAAGTTATTTGCAATTTTGACACAAAATTGGAAAAACTTTGAAATTAGGTCATCGTTAAAGAGTATGAATCTGCAAAAATAGCCTGTATTTGCAATGGAAAGTCTCAGTAAGAAGTCAATGGAAATGGCACACTATTGTTTTCTGCAGAGCTCTGTGTTCTTGTAAACAACAATCAGGCACCTTTGTGCTTTTGGCACGTCAGAGCATGTCTGCTTCTTAGCAACTTTATTTTTTCCTATAATCCACGTGACTATAAATGATAAGGATAATCTAATTTTTTTTATGTGTAATACTTCATTGCTGAATACTCTTATGACTTAATCTGAAGGGCACACCAGCTTAGTTTGTTCTAAAATCTTTTAAACCTTTTTCTTCGATGCTTTTAAAGTTTAGATAATTGGACTGAAAAGTGTGTGTTCGATAATAGCATTAAGTCTCAAGTACAGAAATAGCGTGTTGGGGGGTTTGTTTGCTTTTTGTTTATATTTTTCCTGATTTGATGTCTGAATATATACGCAATGTAATGTCTACTTTTGGTATGCAAGACGTCTGGGTCCATTATACATGCGCACACACACACACACTTCTTTTAAATTGAATCAACAATGTCATTTCAGCTGTTTAAAACCTATTTAGAGCAACAGGTGAATGAATACCTATGGATAGAAAAGTGTCATCTAATCACCCAGGCAACTGTTTGTCTGGAACCTACATAGTGTCATGTGTGCCAAAGGAGACTTGACTTTTTGTATAAAGGTGAAGCTTTCATTGGAGTTTTGCATTGAGGAATTTAGAATAAACACTGATCAGTGATCGACTGTTTATCTAGTTGAGCTATCTTCAACCGTTCCATAGTCTGTCCTCCACTCCGCCCTCCTCCAAGCACCACAACCACTGTTGTGGTGCACACCTTCTCTAATTAATTTTTTTTTTTTTTTAATATAAAACCGTAGTTGCCAGAAGTTCTCTGCCTCTCAGCGAACACCATCAGCCAATGTCCTTTCCCTGCCCTGCACAGTTTAGGTCAGGAGAGTTAACAGAAACTCCAACCAGGAAGAGGAGAGGCAGGGACGGAAGCCCAGTGGACCCCAGGTAAGAAGACAAACCAATTGGAAATGGTTTGACTATTTACATTGGGGGCATGTCAGGGCACCCCTAACACCATAATTACTAGAAGGCATTGTAGTGGATATGGTGCTTGAAGTGTTTTCCGGTAATAAAATATTAGATGGTATGTTCTTACATCTTAATCACCTATTCAAGAAAGTTCAACTCTGCCAGTTTATATCTATTTTAGCTTTCCTATTTTTTCAATAACATAACTTTGAAAGTACAGGAATAAGAACCAATGAGAGCCCTTCTAGCGTATGTTTGGTTTGTAACTCTATGCAGTATTGTCTATTGCCAATAATGCTGTTGCTATAAGTGTGCCTGCCTATTTCAGCTGTGCCTTCAGTTTCTAAGCAAGGAACAGAATAAATGTTGCCAAGCAGCACCGTTAGTTAATTGATGTAGTCTGCTTGTAGTTGTGCTACCATTGTTGTAGTTGATGTTTGAGATCACAGAGCAGTGCAATTATCAAGATTTGTATCTGTCCTATTTGTATGGTGGTGTCATGATAAAGGATAAGTGTTCACAAGTGACTCCTCCTCTTTGTGTTTTGTGTTTGGCAACTAAAGCTATATAGCAGCTCCATTTTCAGATCTGAGGTCTTTTAATTGTCTGTTGACCATCTTCTGGGTAATCAAATTGGAATCAACTTTCCTCTGTTCACTAAATTTATTTTTTATTTTTTTTGGAATGTTTTGTATTTTACAGGTTGTCTAGCTTTTTGTTTTCTGGTTTGGCAAGAGTTTTGCTTTAGTAAAAAAGAGATTTTCATATTCTTTTTGTTGCTGAGAATTATAACACTGGGGTCTACTTGGCTTTTAATCTGTAGATTCTTCAATAAACCACTTTTTTTTTTTTTTTTTTTCATGCAGATGTAGAGATTGCCTAAATTTCAAATCTTTGACATGTACCTGTATACAGTGTACCTTGTCTTGTTGAGCACCTGTCTATATTTCCAAATTTGAGATAATTTTACCACAATCATATATTTTTATTTATTTTAATGAAGGTTAGTCAGAGTTTTGCCATTTCCTTTACTTTTAACAGTGACGTACAGGAGGTCTTTTTGTTTACCCGTTATGAAAAAGACCTAGGACCTGATAAATCTGACATACTTGTCCAAAGCATTTGGGGCTCACTAAACTAGAATGTGTCTGTACATGAAAACCACTGCTTTATAGCATGCAATATATAATGGGAACATATGTGTGGACAAATAAAGCAGTATTTATTTATTTTTTTGTCTTCTATAAATTTGCTTCAGACTAATTTTACGTACTGCTCTGCACATAAATCATACGGCCTTATTAAATCTGTATCATGAACTGTATTTGGATGGACCCTCATACTGCGTGAGCACACCGTGTGCGCATGCACCGATTCACACTAGGAAACTGCTAAGCTGCTGTTTAAGCAAGTATAAGTGGGCATGTGCATGCTATGAGATCATTTTTTGTTCTGCAAAGGAATCAGATCTGGCATAGATTTTTCTGTATTTGTTCATCCTGGCTGAGGTCCAGTAGCTTTGTGTCACAATGCATCATCGTTTTTCTTTTACATTTAAACAATGTGGTGTTATGAAACCTGAAAGGAAAGAACATGAGCCTCTCCTAATGTATAATGTATCACTGTTTCTGAGGGAGAGGCTGTATGTTAATACATCACTAATAGTTATTTAGAATATATTCTACTGCTCCCAATACAACATGCCTTAAATATGCGTATGATGGTGCCACCAACCTCTGTCCTGTGGTTTCAATACCAAAAAAAAAAACCCTTTAAATCTTACAGGTCTTGCAAAAGTGGACAACAACTGTTTCCTCTCAAAATAATATTCTTAAAGGACAACTATAGGCACCCTGACCACTTCAGCTTAATGAAGTGGTCTGGGTGCCAGGTCCAGCTAGGGTTAACCCTTTTTTCTATAAACATAGTTTCAGAGAAACTGCTATGTTTACATTAGGGTTAATCCAGCCTCTAGTGGCTGTCTCATTGACAGCCGCTAGAGGCGCTTGCGTGCTTCTCACTGTGATTTTCACAGTGAGAAGACGCCAGCATCCATAGGAAAGCATTATGAATGCTTTCCTATGAGACTGGCTGAATGCACGCGCGCGGCTCTTGCCGCGCATGCGCATTCAGCCAAGGAGGAGGAGAGCTCCCCGCCCGGTGCTAGAGAAAGAGGTAAGTTTAACCCCTTCCTCACTCTAGAGCCTGGCGGGAGGGGGACCCTGAGGGTGGGGGCACCCTCAGGGCACTATAGTGTCAGGAAAAAGAGTATGTTTTCCTGGCACTATAGCGGTCCTTTAAGTATACATTTCAAACTTCCAAGATGGAGAACATTCGTAAATTTAAAACCAAATTGTAAAATTTAGGCTAAAGTAGCTAAGCTGTAACTATAGACCTAAATCTCTTCTTTAAGCCTTAATTTTACAATTTAATTTTCAGTTCATTACAGTTTGGTGTGTACTGAATAAAAGGGACACACTAGTCACCAAAACAACTTTAGCTTAATGAAACAGTTTTGGTGTATAGATCATGCCCCTGCAGTCCCAGTGCTCAATTATCTGCCATTTAAGAGTTATATCACTTTGTTTATGAACCCTAGTCACACCTCCCTGCATGTGACTTGCACAGCCTTCCATAAACACTTCCTGTAAAGAGCCATCTAAAGTTTATCCTTCCTTTATTGCAAGTTCTGTTTAATTTAGATTTTCTTATCCCCTGCTATGTTAATGGCTCGCTAGACTCTGCAAGAGCCTCCTGTATGTGATTTAAAGTTCAATTTGCTCAGAAAGAGATAACATTTTTATGGTAAATTACATCTGAGTGAAAGTGAAACCAGTTTTTTTTTTTTCCATACAGGCTGTATCAATCAGAACCAGGTAAGGTGTGGCAAGTGCTTTAAAAACAGAAACAAAGTGATTTACCTCCTAAATGGTAGTGGATTGAGCAGTGAAACCTGAGAGGCATGATCTACACACCAAAACTACTTCATTAAAGGGACACTCCAGGCACCCAGACCACTTCTACCCATTGGAGTGGTCTTGGTGCCAGCTCCCACTACCCTTAACCTTGCAAGTGTAATTATTGCAGTTTTCATAAACTGCAATAATTACCTTGCAGGGTTAAGTCCTCCTCTAGTGGCTGTCTATGAGACAGCCACTAGAGGGACTTCCGTGTTCTTAGAATACGAAAAGTGTGTTATATGACGCTGGACGTCCCCACACTATGTGAGGACCTCCAGTGTTGCCGAAACCCCATAGGACAGCATTGACTAATGCTTTCCTCTGGGGAGGTGTAGTGCGTGGCCATTGCCGTGCTTGCACATTAGGTCTCCCCCACCGGCTGACGTAGGCGGGGGAGGAGAGTAGGCGTAGCCTGACCCAGCACCGAGGTACATCTTGGGATGGGGGGTTTCAGGAAGAGGGGCACTACAGGGTCCTGCAGTGCCAGGAAAACTGTTTTCCTGGCACTGGAGAATCCCTTTTAAGCTAAAGTTGTTTAGGTGATTATAGTGTTCCTTTAAAAAAAAAAAAAATATTGCTTTATATTGAGCGTGACTGGTCTGTTTCTGATACCTGGGATCTGGATATTAACTTGTGTTTTGCAAGCTTTGCGCCAGATTGAGAACTTTAAAGGTTATGTATAAAAAAAAAAAATTTTAAAAAATTGTGGAGCAATAGGCTTAAGCATTCTATTGGTTTCCATGGTTCAAAGTTTTCTATTGTACAACGCTACAGAATTTGCTGGAACTTTTATAAATAATAAAGGTGACTGCACTATAGTGATGTCCCGAACTGTTCGCCGCGGACTCCAGTCAGCAGACACATTCCAGCCAATCAGCAGCAGACCCTCCCTCCCACCTCCTGGACAGCTCACTAAGAATGCAGCTTCAAAATGGATGCTGTCCAGGAGGTGGGAGGGAGGGTCTGCTGCTGATTGGCTGGAATGTGTCTGCTGACTGGAGTCCGTGGCGAACCGTTCGGGACATCACTACTGCACTATTTTTAGACCTTTGCTCCAAAATGACTGTTTTACACTTAACCTCTGTGTGTTCTGGTAAGACCTGTGGTCTGACCACATTTCTAATAAATATGTTTATTAACAAACGCACACAGTGTTCAGTCTGGAGTGGATTCACTTTGCCTAATACCAACATTGACTCTTGAACTTTTTTTCCCCTGCTTTTTTCCACATTCTAAATTCAATAACCAGTACTACTCTATGCTTCTAGTTTTCTAATGGGTATCTTTGTTTCATGTGATTGTAAATTAAATTTAGCTGCACATGTTGCGCTTTTTCTTCTTTTAATTCGTTTTCACATTATGTTTCAATTATGTCATTACTGGGCTTTGGAAGTGTGTCGGCTGTAATTACTTTTTGTCTGTCTGCATTATTATTCCAAAGTTCAAGTGACCCCTGTCCCCCTCCCCCCCAAGTATTTACCCTGGTTACAATCATTCCTTTTGATTGTGATATTTTGATCCTTCCTGTGTTCATTGAAAGGGTTCAATATATGTTATTTGCCCTGTATAACTGAAGGCTAATTGATGTAAATGGAGATAGATATGCTACAGTCACATGTCCTTGTCCTTGTTGTCTAGTTTACTACTAAGCATTTAATACAAATGTCTTGCAAGTTTTCCATTATTGGCTCCTAAAATCATTGTAAATATGTACATATGATTTTATACTCTGCAATTGTAATCAGAATACAAGTATACAGTAGCAGTTTGTGTGTGTGTGTGTATGTATATGTATATATATGTGTGTATATATAAAAAAAAATTTGTGTGCAAGGTTCAAAAGTTATGTCCCATGTTACTAACCAGGTGTAAATAATACTTACCACTACCTCTAACTCCCAAAGTAACTGTTATAAGTGGATTCAAAGATACCTCTTGTGAGACAAAAGACAGCCTATGCGGAGCTTTGTATGTCCCTGTCTTACAGAAATCTACACTAACAATCCACTCTTGTGTTGAGACTTGTGTCCCTTTCTAACACAGATGTATTATTTGTCCATTGGTGCCCATTACTTTTAAATGTTTAAGTTCTTATTGTGAAGCCAAAGGTTAAAGGCCAGAAGATAGAATTCACAAACTGTGCTAATGTTGTGATCGTCCTGTGCCTAGTTTAGCTCTATGTCCAGTGTTTTAATCGTTACCGAACTGCTGCAGTTAATTGTGAAATTAATCATAATTCAGGATTTCCCCTGAAATTTTCTGTATGTTATGCCTGCATGTTTGTTTGCAGCTTTTACAAACTGTAACTCTGTACTCAGTCAGGCAAAACGTGCATTGTGGACATTTTTAACTTGGCAGATGTTCCTAAGGAGGTCAGTTTTTATAAAATGGTATTATCATGGTATTCACATAGTGCTGAGTTAGAGAGCCTAGAGCGTGTTTCCCAGACTGCTTTGTGAAATCACATGAGGACGTCAGCTTTTAATCATTTTTTTTTTTTTTTTCGGCCTGGGGAGGTGCTCCCCATGTCACTTCAGTGTTATTCATATTTTTATTTTATTTATTTTTTGTCTTCAGTTCAGAAAAATTTAAACTAGGTCAGATTATTTCATTATTCTTTTTTCATGACTTTCTTTTGTTGTTATAATAAGTAGAATGTTGTTTATAGCTTTGAATTGGTCATAAAATGTTGCATTAACCTTTCCTCTGTTTATTGTAATTTTTGTTGTCTTTGTGTGGGTACATCATTTCAGTTTTATAAACTGTAAAAATTCCTATCACTAGTGAGAAATGTTATATTTACATATTATACATGTGCCAACAACTTCATTTTACATACAGCAAAAAAGCATGATAGTTCTCATGGTTTCACATGTTCTGGGGATCAATATCCCCTGCTTCCCCAAGTACAAAAATCTATAAAGAACACAATTTAGGACTGTACCAGTCACCAGAAAAAAACAATCTTTGCAACTTTGCATTCCATCCTCTGTAAATTGTTTGGCAAAGTTAAGGGACTGCTTGCATACATATTGTAATCTAACACAATGCTTGGGATGCACATACTTCTGTTATTATTATTAACATCGTGCCAATATTTTCCACAGTGCTTAGAATTATACAATGGAGTTATTTAACATGTAATTGACGGACAAAAATAATGTTGACAGACATAGAAGACTCCGCTCAATGGAGCTTATAATCTAGGCGGAAGGGGTAAAGGAAAGCAAGAGGAAGAACAATTTTTCAGTGGGGAAGATATAGTTATGATACTGGTGTTTATAGTTAAGTTTATAAAAGTGGTTTGTGGAGGAACCAAAGTGTGGAAAGAGCATATGAATGGAGGGAGCATAGACAGTGTGGGAACAAACGGAGGGCAAGAGAAAGTGTAATGGTTAATAGAAGAGTGGGAATGTTCAGGGCTTTATAAGATGTTTGAATTGAACCCTGATGGTTACTGGAAGCCATTGTAAGGACTGACGAGGCATGAGCCCTGATGTAGTGGTGAGTCACAGAGATAAGCCTAACAGCAGTATTCATTACAGATTGAAGTGAGACAATACAGGTATTTGGACAAGGAGTCAGTTACAATAATCAAGATGGGAAATAAGTCCACAAACAAGTGCCATTTATAGGGGCATAGGTGAAAGTTCTACGATTTGGATATGGAGAAAATGTGAGACCTGAATTTGAAAAAAAATTTACAAAAAAAAAAAACATTTGAGATCTCATAGTGGGATGTGTAAATGGGAAGTGGATTCTAGAATAAACTGCCAGATTCAGATATTACAGCTATTTTGGGGGGGGGGAAATGATTATTGTTATAAGTACATGAAGGAAAAAAGCAATGAGAAACTGGTTGATAGTTTGAGCCACGTATAGCCAGGAGTTACATTTTGATGAAACTATTTCAAGCCTTGCCCTGTGGCTAAATTGGCCTAAAGAGAATACAAGTTGCCTTTCTTTAGGTTTTCATTATGTGCATAACACATCACTCATCTGTTAATCCCCTCGGAGGTAGTAAGTTCAAAGGAGCTCATTGTTTAGTCTATTTATTTAAAATGTATTTAGTATATGAACCTATAGAGATAATTACCATTTGTCACACGGAAACATGCACCAACCTTTATTGAATCATTTTAACTCTTTAACTAGATCCACCGTAAACTTGTATATTCTACTTTGTAATCCTCTTTTTAAAAAAAATAAATAAAAATAAATAAATTATACTGTATAATCTAAAAGAGATAATCTATGAACATTTAAGTTCTGAGTAATTGGCCTGGAAATAAAGAGATCACTACAGGAACTTGAATAAAGGTCAGACACATCATCCCTGCCTGACAGGTTGTGTTTGTAGGTGTGTCCATATTGCGATGAGCTCACTTTCTATCGCAATGCTCTTTAACCGGTGTGATCAACGCCCTCTTCTGAAACGGAATCTGATTAAATGACCTGTAAACTCTTTTCTCAGGCAATTGCTCATCAATTTTTTTTTAATTTTTTTTTTTAAATTTATTCACCTCCTACGCAAGAGTGGGAGGGAGAGGAAATGAGCTCTTATCTTGTTATTATAATGGGTTGGTTGCACAAAAGAACATAATATAAATAGCAAGGCAACCCTATTATTTAACGTTTAGTCTTCAAGGTTCTGCAAATGTCTTGTATCTGGGCCTGTACACAAGCTTGACTCTTGTTTAATGATATGTGCTACAATGACCTAGATTACATCTGTTTCATATATTACCCAAGGAGTGTTTGTCTAATGTGAGAGTTTTTTTATTAGAATAAATGTGCAGTTTACTTGGCACTTACTGTACTTCGAAACTGAAACCTTTAGCCATGGGTTTTTTTTATTTTATTTTTTTTATTTTACAAACCTGTTTATGCACTATACCAGTAATTGTGGGGAACTGACAAAGGGGAATGCAAAGTTTAGACCAAATTAACTGACTGGAGATCTGATGTTTTGCTCTAAAATATCCTTGTGGGATTTCATATATCCTGTAATAAAACAACCTTTCTTCACCCACTGAATTGACGTAAAATATCTTGCCTTTGAGCTCTTTAGAACTCAAACAAAAAACATGCGTAGTGAGCTACCAAAGTACCATAACAATTTTTTAGGTATATACCCGTATTTTGAATTTCCCAGCAGCCTTTTTCATCTCCTGTTTTCTCTCTAAATAGTTTTAGGAAAAATCTGTGGCCATTATCCTTGTTTGTTAATATATTTCTTGAATGCATTGTGCCTGTATAGTCGCTAACGTGACAGCTGGTCTGGTTTTCAGCTGTGTGAGTGGAAGCTCTGATCAAATATCTCACAAATAGTTGTATATTTGATACAATCTAATACTTGGCAAACCCTTGAATCATTCACTCCCTTCATTTCTGCAAAGGAGGGTGTACTAAAGTATAGTCTTTGTGGTTTATGGCTACATGGCCTGCAGCCAGAAAATGCATTATTGTGGCTATGAGGTGGTATGACCTACTCTTATACTTTGCTGCTTTACCCTCTTGATAAAACAGTCACATCTAACCTCTTTGTTGAAATAAGATAGACTTTCTATGCTCACCACCACCACGCTGTGGGATTTTCCATCTTTCAGTTTCAGAACTGGTTATTCGTGGATTTATAGTTCTCATATGCCTTCATGTGGGCTATTGTATTTTCTACTTATCAAACTGCGGGTTTTTCCTTGAGTGAAAAAGTGAAAGGAAAAGTCTAGGTTATGGGAAATATTTCTGTAGAACTTTTTACTTTTTTTTTTTCTGTATAAATTAAAATATTTAAGCGTATGGAAAGGTGAGCAGTACAGACCATGTGCAATACTTTGTAAGTTGACAGAGAACGTATACACCTGTATTTACTTTCAGCCAAAAGTGAAGTGTCCTGTTTTGTGTCTATATCTCAAAGCTTTTCCAGACATAGAGAGAGGCCTGCTGGACACTCCTGCCATCCGTGTTTACTGTAACTCTAAACTCGTTTATGTTCCAATTTCCTCCATCAATACAGCCAATTACTTTTCATCTTGGAGCATATATGATTCCTTATCTTTCCTGTCTGGTAGGATTAGTGTGATTCACAACGCAGCCCACTTGTCATCTAGCAAGGATGAGCTGGAAAGTGACACTTCAGCCCGACATGTGTGTTTCCTGCGTGTTCTTTAGAATAACGATTAAACAATATCTTGACCATTGTGTTCTCCTGATATTTCCTGTTTCTGTGTCAGTATTGCTGATTGTGCAAAGTTTTTCACACTCGTTAAATGCACTGACTAGCTTTTTACAGTGCTCTCACTCTCTGTGCCAAATCCTTTTGTATCGGAAATTTACCAGTTTGCAATTCTTTTTCTCTCCCTTTAGTTTTATGGACAGACCTTGGTCTACATTATTTAATTCAATTTTCGACCCAGTGCTTTGTGTATAAATCTCAGTAGCCAAACTGAAGGAATACTCCAATTTGGTTTTATGTTTGTTTTATTTACTAGTTTGGCTTTCAGCTTACACAAGTGTGCGAGCGAAGCACTGTGTTCATACACATCCCCTGACTTACTCTTGCTCTATGTGGGCAACCCTCTATATTCCTCTCTGTTCAGAAACCCCACCTACCTGCTAAGACTATGTACGATGGGAATGTCTAAACCCAACCTCGAGTGTATGTGTACAATATTAAGGTAGACACACAGGCTCTCTATTGGTTGGGTACAGCGTGACTCCAAAGACTTGACCCCACAGTGCAAATTTAAAGGACCACTATAGTGCCAGGAAAACATACTCTTTTTCCTTGCACGATAGTGCCCTGAGGGTGCCCCCACCCTCAGTGTCCCCCACCCGCCTGGCTCTGGGGAGAGGAAAGGGGTTAAACTTACCTTTTTTTCCAGCGCCAGACAGGGAGCTCTCCTCCTCCTCTCCTCCCTTGCGGCTGAATGCGCACGCGTGGCAAGAGCTGCGAGCGCATTCAGCCGGTCTCACAGGAAAGCATTTACAATGCTTTCCTATGGACGCTTGCGTGTTCTCACTGTGATTTTCACAGTGAGAATCACGCAAGCGCCTCTAGCGGCTGTCAATGAGACAGCCACTAGAGGCTGGATTAACGCATTTATAAACATAGCAGTTTCTCGGAAACTGCTGTGTTATATATATATATATATATATATATATATATATATATATATATATATATATATATATATATATATATATATATATATATATATATATATATATATATATATATATATATATATATATATATATATATATATATATATATATATATATATATATATATATATATATATATATATATATAAAAAAGGGGGGGTTAATCCTAGAGGGACCTGGCACCCAGACCACTTCATTAAGCTGAAGTGGTCTGGGTGCCTAGAGTGGTCCTTTAAGGTTAAAAAATACATGTAATATTTTCTATTTTAAAAAGGCACATTTCCTTTAACCCCTTAAGGACCAAACTTCTAGAATAAAAGGGAATCATGACATCTCACACATGTCATGTGTCCTTAAGGGGTTAAAGAACCAGCCCTGCTAAAATCAGATTTTTTATTTTATTTTTTCCCCTGAATGTCCCTAGTAATTACAGTGCTCACAATACTTTACCAGCATTACTGTAAAGCTAAACGTAGCATGGTGAGCTATGTCTGTCCAAAAGTAGCAGAATCAATAAATGTATCCAAATGCTGCATTCTCAGTATAAAGGCTGAGCAGTCACTCCCTGCCCAATCAGCACAATGGCCAATAATAGCCAATGGAGTAATAGCACACTGACAGGTGCCTTGTGCATGTCAAGGTGAGATAGGAGGACCGAACTATGTACCATAGAGAGAACATTACAGACTGTCTCCCCTTCCTGCTTCTATTACAGGCAGAGAGACCCAAGGCCTGAGTCTCCCCAGATTAGTGAGTGTTCTATTAAGGGGAGAGAACCGTACATTGGTTCTCCTGCTAATTTACAACAGGAAGTATTTGCTAACTAAAGCAGAGATGTTTGCAAGCCATTGATATAAATGTATTTGTGACTGAGGATAATGGGGTGTGTAGTCCCCATGTTAACCCTCCCTGAATGCTATGGCCTGTAGGACAGGGTGTGACGGCAATGAAACAGCTGAGTAGAAAATAGTCACTAGTTCTGCATTCTTTGCATCTCTTTCTACAGATATATGAAAGCTTTATTTTCCCAGGGCTGTATTTGCTAAATAACAAACTTGCTAGAGCAGGTAAAAATGTGACTTCTTACAGTGGTGGTGGTGGTGGGTTTACTCCTGGCACCATAACCACTATAGCAAGATGTAGTAGTTAAGGTGGTTGGATTGTTCCTTTAAAATCCCATTGCAACTCTTACGCTGCTATTCAATAAATTACATATTGTAGTGAATTATAATCGAAAATTTAGGCAAAAAATTCTTCAAATAAGCTATAGTTGGCTTTGGCTATTTTTGCCTCATTTTGACTCCCCCCACTCCTCCTTTCTTCCCCAGATTTCTAATTTGTGAGTTTAATGATTAAATCCTTTCACGGTCTTACTGCTAGTCTTCTGAACCTGCTCCCTGTTGTGTTGCTTGAACTGAATCTTTTTACAAATTGAGTATGTCAAGCATGAGAGCTATTTAATGATACTTTTTGAAGAATTCATTTAGGGAGGTATTTACTGACCCCAGCAATTTACCCACATGCCTTATGACTGCTGAAAGGAGTTGACAGTAACTTTAAATAAAACACTGCAGGAGCCAAACTCTTATTGAGTGACCCTTGTGACTTACAGATAATTTAAATGCTGGAGGGATTATCTTTTGACTGCTGTTGCTGGATAGACCTAAGTGAGAATCTGAAAAGAGGCCTATACTTATTATTAATTTTCAGGCTTAACTCAGAAATTCCTGCTTTGAAGTACTTGCCATCATTTTGTCAGTTGAAATATTGGGCAAATGGAGGAGAAATATATTTTATTTATTTTGTTTAAGTTTTTAGTTTTTTTTTCAGTAAACAGTGAATTGTATTACATTGAAAAGTGAACTGCGACATTTAGGCCAAAGTAGCTGACTTGGAAAGAGTTTTAACTTAACGTTTGTTATTTTTATTTATTTTTTTTAGCCTGCATTTTTCAATTTGGTTTTCAGTTCACAAGTATTAAATGCGTATAGTATAAAAGTGTTTGTAGCAATTAAAGGAACACTAAAGCGCTAGGAATACAAACCTGTTACAGAGGTGTAATGCCCCTGTGCATGCTATTAAAAATAATATATAGGGTTTTGCTTACCCTCCTCCTCCGGTGGCGTCATCGAGGAGGCATAGCATCCTCCAGCAAGTATCCAAACTTCCCCATTCAATCAGTGCTTCCTATGGTGGCTGCAACATCACATGACTAAGTTTTACTCCGCTGCAGAAACGCCTCTAGTGGCTATCGGTGTAAAAGCCACTAGATGTGTTTTTAGCCCTCAAATTTAACATTGCTGTTTCTACAAAATGGCAGTGTTTTACCTTGATTGGTTAAAAAGACAGGACCACTGCCCCCAGGCCATTTTATTGGTGGTGGTCCTTTTAATAATGAAGCATGGTTTGCTAATGATTTATATAGGTTCAGGAAACGCTACTTCCAATACGGTTACTAATGGGCATGTAAGCATGAAAAGATTGTTCTGTAGAAACTCTCGGACACACCCTATTTTATAAATGACATAGTTTATATGATTATTGCATTCTTTGTAAATTAATCATGCAACTTCCAGGTTATTAGCTTACGATAACTAATGCAACAGGAAATGTATATTAATTTTTGTAGCTGTTCATCAAATAGTAATCATGGTGTTCATTAAACTGGAGAATTTGCAAGGGATTTCAAAACTTTAGTTTTATATAATTGAACAGTGGGGGGGGGGGGATGAGGGAATGGAAGATTATGGTATATAATTAGCAAGTTCCTTGTGTGTTTTCCACAGTTTGTGGTTTAGTGAATATGCTCATTGTCCGTGTTAAGCGAAGAAAAGTACATATGGTGTTGTGAGGAAATCTGCTCGGGGAGACCTAGTGTGCACGTGCGACAATGACCACGCTCGCATTCGTATTTCCCCATAGGAAAGTATTATACAATGCTTTTCTATGGGGTTTTGGGTGACTTTGGATGTCCTCATGCATAGCATCAGGCGACCAAAAGTTGTATAGCGACCCAGAAGTCTCTCTAGTAGCTGTCTGACAGACAGCCAGCCAGCCACTAAAGGTGGAGTTAACCCTCGAAGGTTATTTGCTCATTGGCTGTGGTACTGGAGGTGGGGAGCGCCCATAGGCGATACTAGTTTAAGAAGTCAAACCATTCTAAAATGGTTTACCTACTTAAAGGTAGCTCACTGGAACACTCTTTTATGGTTTTCTTTTTATAAACACTATACATATTTTGAGATTACAGTCCATCACATTAGATATTAAAACTTAATATTTGTACATGTTAAATGTTGGCATCTCACTGCTCCATTCGCTGCCATTTAGACTTTGTTTATACAGCTCTAGTCACACCTCCGCAGACTGTGACTGACACATCCTGCATGACAACCAAATGGTTTCATTTTCAATCTGTTACTGACTTTTTAAAAGTTTTTATCTCCTGCTATGTAAATTGAACATATAGTAGGCTCCTGCAGGGTCTAGCAAGCTATTAACAGAGCAAGAGATCATAAATTCTAAATTAAACATAATTTGCAATAAAGGAAGTGTAAACATTAGATGACTCTTTACAGGAAGTGTTTAGGAAGGCAGTGTAAGTCTCACACACAGGGAGGTGTGACTAGGGCTGTATAAACAAATGGATTTCACTCCTAAATGGCAGAGAATTGAGCAGTGAGACTAAAGGGGCATGATCTGCACACCAGAACTGCTTCATTAAGCTAAAGTTGTTTTGGTGACTATATTGTCCCTTTTAAATACTACAGCATGCTGGTGTGTTTTGGGCATCTGTAAGCCTTACTGTTCTACATTAGTCTGATTAAGCAGAAGTTCATACTTCCACACTGTCATACCAGGCTGACTCTTTCAGCCAATTCATTCTGTTTAAACCTGGTGTGAGTTGGTATGCTAGTGCAGAAATGTGTGCTGTGGAATAAGTTGGTACTATGAGTGCAATAATAAATATGAACATCCTCTTTATCAGACAAACTCTGACATAAGTACTGAGTCCCATAAATCTGGACACCAGTGGACAGGGTAAAAGGGGATTGAATCTTGTCACTGGCACCGCCCAAAGAGGGCAGATCTGCCATGCTGCAAAGTCCAGACAGGACTCTGAAATGGGACTATCCCACCGAAATTGAGAATGTTATAAGGCATGGAAATGTAATAAACCATTTCAGATTACCAGCGTATTCATGGCACCATAACCACTATGACACAACTCTTGCTTCAAACCTCATGTCTTGTCAGGCAGCTAAATACATTTCAAAGCAGCAGTGTCATAAATCCACACACAGCAATGTTGTTTGCCATGAACTACCTGCCTGTTTTGTTTGAATTGTAAGTTAGTAAGAGTTCAAATAGCATTAAGTGCATACCTAAAATTATGTCAGGACAGAAATATTACAGTGTTTGAGCAGTGTTCTAAAGTGAAGTGTAATTAGAGGTTCGAAAATGTACACACGATTTCAGACATGTAATTTTCTAAACTTAAAAGTATTCCGCCCACTACTAGAGCGAGATAGAGTAGGGACTTTTTGGTAAAATATTTGTAAGATTCTGTGTATAATCGACATTGGCTGGTAAAGCATTACGTTTTAGTTGAACAACAATTGCCATTCTTGATTAACGTGAATGCACAAAATAGTTATTAAACATTTCTTCTTTTCGCTGCTTCTTACTCCTGCGTCTCAGGGACTTAACTCTGTCAGTAGCTTTAGAGTGATGCCGGATTATTTCAAGTCTATAGCAATTATTTTGGCACCAGAAAACATCCAAAGGATATCTTAATCACATGTAAAGTAACACTAAAACTTCAGTTTAAGATGAGCTTTAATGAGCGATCATGATCAGAAAGGTTCAAGTATGCAAGTAGAACTGAAAAAAAACTATATTGGCACTGTTTGCAAAAGTTAACAAAAATTATTTTTGTGCCGTTTAAGCTACACTCCACTATCCCAATCTAAAAATCAATGTTTAGTAGATATAACCAAAATAAAGCATGCATGCATTTAATGATGCACTTTTTTTTAATTGTGGTTATATCTAAAACCAGTTTGTAAAAGATGCAGATCTCCTTTGAAATTTTTCAAGCCCTCCCCTTCTAGCCTAGCCCAGACTTTATTTGGCTGTCCAATCACAAACTTGATGTAGATCAATGAAAAGTCAGGTGCTCTGGACAATTGCTGCCTCCTGAGTTTAGCTGTACTGAGCAAAATAACCAGGAAGTAGCAGGGTCTGTAACCAGGTTAATTTATAAAAGTTCCAGTTTCTGTTGAAAACTTAACTTTTTTTCTAAATTGATGAGATGAGTGTCACTTTAATGATTGTACAGTTTTTCAGCAATGAATTGCATGCGGATATGAGTTGCACATGCTCTAGTAACCTTTTGGAAGGATTTAGAGAATACAGGGTTCTAGGTGTGCATCAAACCTTTTTCTATGAAAAAGATTTATTTGCTTGTCCTAAAAAGGATTTTAGTCTTAATGATCTTGCAGTAGGAGGATTGGGCTGCAGTGAGAAGTTGGTATTGGACCTTGATTTAATTTTTTTCTTGTTCTCTACACTTCATAGATTCCTAGAACATGGTTCTGAATGTCACTGGTTAAAATAAGTCTTCAGTACTGTTGATGGTTTTTAAAAAAATAGAGGCTAAATCCGTTGCTTTAATATAGTCGGTCTTCTCATATGTAGCTGGACATCATTTTCTTTACATTACATTAAAGGCTTCATGAACGGAAAGAAGACTGTCGGAACTGTCATTTCAGATTGACAAATCCCTTCTCCTGATGTGTGTGTGTGTGGTTCACGAATTTGACCTGTGCTTTGTATCTGCTTTCTTGATGTTTTGAACCATCCAGGCTGACGTACTCACACACAACAAAGGTCTCTTAAAGGGGCACTTTAGTGAGCTGTGGAGGAATTTCAAGGGTCTCTTGTTATTTGAGATCTCCAAATAATGCTAAATGACTACTGTTTTGTTGGTCTTGTGTTTAGTATTTCACATATCATGCATTGTGCTATAGCTCAGTGGTGGCTAAAAAAAAAAAAAAAGTTGCTTCAGGTCTTTTATCTGAGCAGAATTATTGTATGTACTATTGTATTTATTCACTTTACCATCTATACTATGTAATCTAGCAATGTGTGTTTTTTGTTTTTAGACATTATTAAACATTAGGCCTAAAGTGAAGCATTTTTTTACACACACACACACACACACACACACACACACTTCTTGACTTCAGCGTACGGTGAACCTTGACACACTTAAATTCTTTGCCTAAACTTGTGAAGTCATGGGGACTTCCATCATGTATTGTAATTATTTATTTTTATCGATTCTTTTGACTAACATATATACGTTGTTTTATAACTTCAAAGTGAACTTAAAACCTGTCCGTTTGTTGCTTATTTTGCAGTACACCATTAATGAGTAACTCCTTGTTTGGCGAGTTATAACTTATCATTTTCTTCAACCCCCTTCGCAGCTGCTTAGGTAATGTTGACATGTGGCCATGATAATGGCTAGATTGTGAAAACTAAAGTATTATACGTTGTTACCTGACACCAAATACTGAAGGGAACATTACTGGTCTGGATTCATACTGCCATATGTTGCTGCAATTCAGCTTCATTGACCTATCGTATTACCAGCTTCCACTAGCCCTGGCAACTTCTCCAGACCAGCAGGAACCTAACTGGTGTTGGCACTGTGAATTGTATTCGCATCCAACTCGATATTGTAGTTCTGAGTGATATCGTGTAGTTATTTGTGCTGTGTGTATGTATATGTAAAAAAAAATGCTTTCCTCGACCTTCTGCACTGTAATCAAAATATACTGGCGCAGGGAAGCGGCCGGCTCAGGGAGCTTTGTAGCTGGCCGCCCTGGGCTGTATGGAGGTGGCTGGCTCAGGGAGCACGTAGATGACCGACCTGGAGAGTATAGAGGCTCCCTGGGCTGCATGGAGACAGCAGGCTGGGGCAGCGTGCGAAGGAGCAGTGATTTTCCTGCAGTGATTTTCCTGCAGCTCCTTTCTGCTCCCTCGCGCTGTGTAATGATGCCGGGAGCCGGAATATGATGTCATTCCGGCCCCAGCATCACTGCAGACAGTGCGAGGGCGCAGAGAAGAGCTGCAGGAAGATCACTGCTCCCTTGCACACAGGAATAGCAGCCCCATTGGACCCCAGGGAAAGTCCACTCAGCCAGGGGTCAAGTTCTGGGGAATAAACTGTGGGAACTCACCCAAGAACCCACCCCCACCCAAAAAACAATGATATATACTCGTATGCATATATAAACGTGTGTGTGTGTGTGTGTGTGTGTGTGTGTGTATATGTGTATATATATATATATTACTCACTCACTCATACATACACATACATACATACATACATACATACACACACACAGAAACACACATTATTATTATTTTTTAATTTAAAAATGTCCACCCAGCCTTCCTACCTGGAGAGCTGCCGTGGACCTGTCCAGTGAGGCGGGCGTCTGTCTCCCTGTCAGATGCGACGAGGGAGCTGTGCAGCCAGTATTATTCTTGGCACTTTATAATGCTATAAATAAAATATTAAAAAGATGATGCAGGATTTTCTATATCCTAAAAAAGGTATTTATTGCACTTGAATGCTTTCAATAAAGTTTAAAAACTGCTTAAGAAAAATGCATACATTTCTTAAGAGGTTTTGTGAATGAGTATCTACTGATTGGCTGAAAAGTGAAAAACCTCAGCGTTACAACCCTCTGAGTTACTGATCTTCAATACCAACATGAAACCTACTTGCACGAGGTACGCCAACTGATGTACATCTCCAACTTGGTTTCAGACTCTACTGATCTACTGTTTGATCATGGTTATCTGTTGCACTAGTCCTAGTTGATCATATTTATATTCTACTTTTAATGAGTGAACCTTTTGTTCGTTTTTCATTTCTGTACGTTTTCTTTAATTTGCTGCATTTGACTCCTTTGTTGAGTCAGACTCTTTTTTTTTTTTTTTTTTGTCTGTATTTGTGTTGTGTTTTTTGCTCTATTTTTTTACTTTAAAAAAAAAAAAAGTTATTAAATTCTAAAACCTAAGCATTGGAGTCTTCACAGTATCAAAATGTGCTTCCATTATTTTGGAGTATTGATGTACCTTGTCCTACCAATGAAGATTTACCAAAAATACATGGAGATCCATTTTTTTTTTTTTGTCCCAAAATTCCGTGGTTAAAGTCTGCTCCTTTTGGTTTTTCTATCCTGTGCATGGTCTCTGTTTCTATATGGTCATATGGCATTTTACATATGTGATCATGAATGTGATATCCTCTCCAGAATGAGCATACTGGAATAAGTTGTGGACTACATCTCCCATAATGCTCCTTCAGCCATAATGTTGGCAAAGTATCAAGGGAGATCTAGTTCACAACATCTGAAGTGCCGAAGGTTGCCTACCCCTGTATTAGAGGTATGGCAGTCTCCTGGTGGGATAGACTGTAAATTTGGCTCAGGATGCGAGTACACATTATTCCAAATTTACTATATTAATCTTGAAGTATTTTCTGCAAGATATTCAGATTTAGATTGTACATCAGATGCTTAGTTTGACCATTCGTAACCCTACTGTGCTTTTATTAGCAGTAAAGTGTGGATGAATTCTAGGCCATAGTTGTAAGTATTCTTTATGCATCATGCACATTATTAGGAGATCTTCATGCAGATTATGAAACCTGTCCTAGATATGATTTCCATTTCTTACACTTCTGAAGAAGCCCTGCTTGGTGAAACTCATAAAGTGGGGTATTTTGGATTCTTTTGGGACCTTTTTTTATTTTATATTGCATTGTTTATTGTTTTAATTGTTTACATTATATCGTAAGTTAATTCCCTTATATACTATATTCCCTTTTATTTATGTCTGGCTGGCTTCCTAGTTCCTGCATTGTCCAGGTGGGGATTGTACCACCAAGGCCTTCTACTAGCAGAGCAGGTTTTTGCTCTAAAATTGTAAGTAATGCAGAAGAGCTCTTGGTAGCTCTCTAAAGTGTGAGTTATCCCTCTATATACTTTTTGCACTTTTAATATTGAAATTTACTGCCTCCTTCATGAAATTTGGTCAATCAAAAACATACTTTCCACCTGGCCAAACAGATTGTTCCGCTTTGTGCAAGTCTAGCTGTTAATCATTCTATTCCATAATTACCGAAGATAGGTAATGGCAAATATCCCATTTGTGTAAGTGTACACTTTGTATACTATTCACTGCTGTAAAGGTTAATGTACTGATGGGGATAGGTCTGCCAGCTATCAATATTTAGTAACTGAGAACTTGGCACCCTTTTCACCTTCAAAAGAGCAGATGGTGACATTTTCCCTGCCTGGAGTCAGGAGTAATTTATGAAAGCACACACAAATTTTATATGTAGTTTTTATGACCTCATTCTTTGTGTGTGTGTGTGTATATATATGTATGTGTGTATATATGTATGTATGTATATATGTATGTATGTATATGTATATATGTATGTGTGTGTATGTATATGTGTGTGTTGTTATTCCCCCCCCTCTATGAATTGGCTCTGAATGTTGTACATCTGCTTATGTGTCTGTCTGCTGGGCTGTGGTAAGTGCTTGACATCTGACTATATCAGCTAATTGGTTTTGTGGTTGATGGCACTGAAAGCAGTGAACTATATTTTTCAGACTGCTTAGTCATAAAATATAACTACAGCCCTTCTCCGAGATTCACAGTCCTTTTGAATTCTATTCAGGACAGGCAAATCTCCAAAACTCTCTACCCCCATCTGTTTGACTACAAGTCATATAATCCACTGCCCGCATCAGAAGCCAGCAAGAATGACCGGATTTACACAACCTTGTTCTACCCCATTCTATTTGCTTCCTTCTTAAAACTGTTAGAACATACCCATTATCTTTTTGTGAGGTTTTTCTTACAACATAAAAGATCTGTTATTCATTTGTCACAATCGAGCCAGCTTTTGTCAGAGTAGTTGTTAAATTTATACCCCATGGTGTCCTAAGCAAATATTTATTATTATTTTTTGACCACTAGAACATTTTCATAGAGTGTTCAACTGTTGATGCAAGTAAGATGGACAAAAGGAGGGGAGAATTCCACATTTGTATTGTGTATCCTGGTCAACCAAATATTTATTGAATTTAAGGAAACTCTCCAAGCATGCTGTAGTGTTTATGGTGCCGGGAGTACCCTGACTTCCTCTATGTGTAAGAAGTCAAACTGTTTGCTAATGGTTTGACTACTTACCTGGGATCCCATTCCACATTGAGAACTGTAAGCTGCTGCACAGAGTTTCTGTTAGTCTGTCTAAGCTTATCCCTAGCAGTGGCCACTTGTTGCTGAGTGTGTCAGCAGATCGCTCACTGGCCGTGGGCTAAGACTCGCATCACTGGGCACCCGATGGACCCCACATCAGTTGGCAAACCGTAAACAATTTGACAGCTTGCATTGGGAGGATTCATTGCTGTATCATAGGGAGTTTTGGAGTTTTCTACACTGAATTATTAGATTCCTGGGGGGCTTTCCAATGATTCTCCCTGCTCTTGAATGAAAGCACCTTTTTGTTGTACAACTTGCTGCTTTATTTTCATGTAAAAGTATATATAAAACTGAAATGTAAAATAAAACAAAATGGTCCAACATGTTTTGTCCACAATATGGACTTCTTCAGGGTCCCAAAAAAACACAAAACAATAAAAGTAAATCCAAATACATACATAAAATAAAGTATAAAAATATACAGATACCCATCAAGCAAGTAAGCAACCTGCCCCATTTAAAGGCCCCCCAGGAATCTAAGGGGAGGCACCGAAGAGCAAATTTATCTTCATTGATGCCATGAGTGCACACCTACCTGCGCAATGTACTTTTTAATGTTGCTGTGTTACACTGTTATCGTATGTTTACATTTTAGATTAACAGCAGTATCCCCAGCAGTACCGTGTTTCCCCGAAAATAAACCCTACCCCGAAAATAAGCCCTAGTCGGATTTTCGGGGTGGGCTGCAATATAAGCCCTACCCCGAAAATAAGACCTAGGCATTTTACCTTTTCGGCGAGACTTCCTTCTTCTACTGTAGGAGGAGCGTTGCGGGCCGCGGCATCGCGCAACGTGATGACGACATTTTGCAGCGCCGTCAGTCTGCCTTCACGGATCTTCAGCGGAAGGATCCATTTCCAGGCGGTGAGGCTCCCAGTGGTCGGACTCGGCAAGGAAACTTTGAAATGTGAGTACCGGTAGATATTTTATGTCTGGGACTGAATTAATTAAAGGGGGCGGGGGGTGAATTAATTAAAGGGGGGGTGAATTAAAGGGTGGGCTGGATTAATTAGAGGGGGGTGAATTAATTAAAGGGGGGGTGAATTAATTAAGGGGAGGTGAATTAATTAGAGGGGGCTGGATTAATTAGAGGGGGTGAATTAATTAAAGGGGTGGTGAATTAATTAAAGGGTGGGCTGGATTAATTAGAGGGGGGTGAATTAATTAAAGGGGTGGTGAATTAATTAAAGGGTGGGCTGGATTAATTAGAGGGGGGTGAATTAATTAAAGGGGGGTGAATTAATTAAAGGGTGGGCTGGATTAATTAGAGGGGGTGGATTATTAGGGGGGGGTGGATTAATTAAAGGGGGGGTTCAATGTACATACCGGTACCGTAAATAAATAAGCCCTACCCTGAAAATAAGCCCTAGTGTGTTTTTTGTGACTAAAATTAATATAAGACCCGGTCTTATTTTCGGAGAAACACGGTATGTGTATTTTGGCTATCTTGTAAAGGGGCATATCCTGGGACACCCCCTGGGGAAGCTATTTCCTCGCCTAAAACTTGAGCGTGAATGTGTTGGTTAATGTAACACAACTACAGTGGTTATGTTGCTTGGAATGTAACTTTAAGAGTCTGTCTTGTTCTTGGGAACATGCTCAAGACATGGTGAATCTCACAGTAATATTGCCAATATACCCATGTGCTTTTGAAATTTTATTTAATTTTTTTTTATAGCAGAGGATGCATGTTTCTCTTGGACATAAGAGTTTAAGTATCTTGATCTCAGTGCTTTAATAATAATTCATGGTAAAAAAAAAAGCAGATTTTTAATTTAAAAAAAAAAAAGTATTGCATGTAGCAATACTTCAAATAATGTTTTAGGAAAGGAAATCTTGGCTTGTGTGTACATATTTTAATCCTAACTGGGCAGTGAATAGTCTTCTAATATAAATACACTGTATTAAACAGAGCCTGGGTCATAGAATATCTGTAATTCAGTACCAGGAAGAATGTTGGCTAATTTGATCATATATTGGTTTATTTTTCAATGGCTGAATTGTTGGCTATGTAGTGACGTTTATGCCTGCTTGTTGAAGACCAGTTTTAATCAGGTCTCTGAAGTTTTTCTACCCTAACAAATTAAATAAATAAAATTTTATATATATATATATATATATATATATATATATATATGCGCATTTTGGGTCATATTACTATTCAGGCTAATTTCTGCCTGGAGGGGAAATTGAGATATGATTGTGTAAACTACAGGTGCACAACCTTTTTAGAGAAGGGGATAGATGACTAACTGAAATTCAAACCAGGGGGGGAGCACTGCTGTATGACGTCAATGAGATGTTTTTTGCTTGAATCTGATGTCTGTTTGCAGGTTGCTGAATCTATAGAATTTCTTGAAGTGTTTATCTTCTGCTCCTCCCCAATTTTGATTCTGCTTAATCTCCCACGTGTCGTTCCCTTCGCCCCCTTTCATTTGTCTTGTTCCCTTCGCCCCCTTTCATTTGTCTTGTTCCCTTCGCCCCCTTTCATTTGTCTTGTTCCCTTCGCCCCCTTTCATTTGTCTTGTTCCCTTCGCCTCCCTTTCATTTGTCTTGTTCCCTTCGCCCCCTTTCATTTGTCTTGTTCCCTTCGCCCCCTTTCATTTGTCTTGTTCCCTTTGCCTCCCTTTTTCCCTGTATGCTGTGGTTGAGTGGCTGTGTATCCCTAGTGTAAAATAACATATCTGATTCTTCAAACACAGTTTTGCAACTTGCTGTATCATAGGGAGTTTTGGAGTTTTCTACACTGAATTATGTAAATGTACCCCTACCTATTTCATATTTCCCCCAGACAAATCCTAGCAAATATTATATCACGTAGTAGCTAGGAAAATAACTTTCAAATTATTTTCTGAATCCATGTTAAAAGGGACACTCCAGTGCCAGGAAAACAAATCGTTTTCCTGGCACTGCAGGTCCCCTCTCCCTCCCACCCCTCCATCCCAAGTTGCTGAAGGGGTTAGAACCCCTTCCGTGACTTACCTGAGACCAGCGCCCATGTCCCTCGGTGCTGGATGAGGATCCGTCCAGACTCCTCCCCTGCCGACGTCATCCGGCGGGGGAGACCGATTGCGCATGCGAGGCAATGCCGTGCACGCGCATTAGACCTCTCCATAGGAAAGCATAGGAAATGCTTTCCTATGGGGATTTTAGAGACTATTTTTACAGTTGCAGGGTTAAGGGTAGTGGGAGTTGGCACCCAGACCACTCCAATGGGCAGAAGTGGTCTGGGTGCCTGGAGTGTCCCTTTAATAGATCCTGCAAGGACTTACTGATTTTTTTATTTTTTTTTATTTATTTTTTAACAAGGCAGGTAGTAAAAAGTCTGCAGGGGAAATTTAATTAAAGATTTATTTTAAAGGTGGGCAAAGGGAACGAGATAAAGGAAAGGGGGCAAAGAGACTGAGTTAAAATGTAAAAGGGAAGGGGTCAACAATAAAATGTGCTTGCAGTTGCCATGGTGATTGCTCATGTTTTTAAAACTGAAACTTTGATAAATGTCCCTGTGGCGAAACCAACCTCGCCACTGTGAACTGGAGAAGCCTGGTTGCTCGCCTGCTCCCTTTGGACTATGGCCCTGCAGGTTAAACCGTTTATTTCCCCTGCAGAAAGGCTTATTTGTGTGATCTGAGTGCCATTCATCTAATAATGTGCACTCAGATCCCAGCTATCTGGGGATATGTGAAATGTCTGTGTGTTATGTGTAAAGGTGACTTTATGTATTTTAAAGTGTTTTGTGTCTTTTTGCAACCATGTGCTTAATGGAGTCTGTGTCTGTCCTGGGAGATAATTGAATTACTTATCTCCAGGATAGACTCTGATGAAGGATGTGATTGGTTGTTTTGTAACGCCCTGTGGGCTGTACTATGTTTGTGGATTGGGAATAAAAGAGACTGTATGTGACAGTACAGAGAGTTCCTGTTTTAACCCTCAAAGTGAAGTGTCGTCTCATTATTGGGGGAAGGATTTATTGTATGCTGTTCCAGTTTGACTGCTAGGAGAGTAAACCTATTCGTATGGTTCCTATTCAACTGTCTACAGCATTCATATGCTTGAGAGCATTCATATGCTCCTACGGTTCGGTGGTGGTGGTGTCTGCCAGAGTGCTTGGAGTCCTCAGGAAGCACTAGGAGCATCCTTCAACGGAGGTGCCCAGTCGGGGTGCCAGGTGATCCGTTACAGTCCCCCACTCCAAAAATGTTACCACACGCCAGCTCTGCACACACTGAGCTTGCATAGATCTTTCCATAATTCCAAACCTCTTCTTTTACGTGTGCAGCGAGGACAGATTTGAAAAAGACCATATCTCTGTCATGCTGTCCCATGCGCAGTGCCCCTCTGTACATGTGTATTTTTAGAGCACAGCACTTGCGCTTTTTACTCGAACCAACCATTGTAGGATTTTTCTTAATGTTTCAAACAAACTTTTATTTAAAGTAAACTGCTTGCCTAACATTACATGTGTATCCTCTCTACAGAATGTCTCTTGGTAACAAAGTAAACACAATTCCTTCTTTCTAGTACTGCACAGCCCAGAGAGCTGTGGGTGCTTGACATATTTTTGCCTTTGCAATTCATGTATCCCATTTTATTTTCCTTTCCTTTGCTTTGCCACATATAAGGATATCATTTTTTAATGGGCATAGCCTTTTTTTTTAACAAGGCAGGTAGTAATAGCATCTTGATACAAGGAGATCGTACTGCCATTCTGGGGTCAAGAAAACATTCCAAAGTGTGGGGTTTTTTGTTGGCCTTCTTTTTGGATCAACAGCAAAAACAAATGTGAGAGAGGCTGTGCTGGATGGATGCATGTTTCTTTTCAGCTATGTAACTATGTAACATACCTGTAATTTTATTGAAATTGGTACAAAGACCCAAAATCCTGCATGCAATCACTGGCTTTAAAATTTAAGAGTACACTAAAAATCACTAAAGCTCCTTCAGACTGTCCCATTCATGTCACTGTTTCCTGATTGCTTTGAAGTTTCTCCAATTAATTTGCAAGGAGCTTGACATACCCCATGAACTCATACCTAGCAAGGTTTGTTTGTGGCATGTAGTTCAGCACCTGGCAACTTAACAGGGTGAATAGAACTGCTTCCTAAGCTGATAGCAGCTTGCAGCAATTAGCTAACTGATTTCTCCATTCCTAATTTTGTGAGTGGATCCTCCAGTGTCATCATGGTATGACTGTGTGTGTTAGATTTCTGTCCTGATCCTGGCAAGAAGATGTTCAAAAGGAAGTATACCTTTAACTGAAACAGTAGATAAATTGTTTGGTAATATTTTCTCTTAAACACTTTAAACATCCTTTTTGCTTGTTGGGGGGTCCTGTCTCGTGTTGCTGGGAAGATATTTGTGTGCATCCTTCCCAGTACCTTTGCTTCCTCTGAACGTATATTGGTGCCACAAAAACCACCAGTTTCAACTCTGGGTTTGCTCGGTTTAGGAAAGGTGGAGCAGCAACAGACTTTCCTGCGCAGTGCAGCTTCCTGCACATTCATTGTAAGGGAAAGGAATGAAGAATGCTTTGAGCTATGAATCCTGATATGCATTGTTCTTTGCTTCTAAATCGGAGCTGTGAATTGAGTCATCTCTCCAGGGGTGACTGAACTACTTGTACAGTTTTGTAGCAGGTCACTGAATCAAAACCACAGGCTACTTGCTCCAGCGTCCTGTCAAGCCATTCTGTGGCCTTGCTAAACACTTCAGTACAAAGTGCAGGTGAAAATCCATCAGGGCTGAGCCTTGGCTTATTGATCTGTACATTGTAGTCTGGGTAATACAAATCTTGTTTTGAAGTGGCCAGATAGTCTTGCTTCATAAGTTGTACTAGGTAACAATATCCCTTCACCTCTTGTGTCTGACAACAACATTGTTTTTGTGCGTCAATTACTAGTTGTTAAATATACTGTTCTATAATTGTAGAGTTCTGCAGGAAATGTTAGAGCCATATAAAAACTTAATAAAATATCTACTATAAAAAGCAGCATTTTATATCCTGCTCCTCTCCATTCCACTCACACACTTTTTAGTAAATAGCAAGTCTGAATGAATAGTTTACTGTGGAACTCTGGAAGCAAACAAATCTGTGTTGCGCAACCATACTCTATGTGGCTGTTACTAGGCTCTCCATATATTAACACAAACCTAGGGATGGTTTTATTAGATACACTCCGTTATCATTTATTTGCAAGCTAAGGTCTTGCAAGGCTAAACCCACATCCTAACATCACAAGTTTAAAGATCATGGTGCAGCCTGAGAATATTAACGGGTTACTTCAAGCACCATGATCACTTCACTGATTTGATTACATGACTTAACCCTTTCACTGCCAGAGGGATAACTCCCCTTCCGGCAACATAAATTCTGTGCAAAATTGGAGTCTGATGCAAGCACACACAGCATACTTGCACTAGATTGCCAATGTACAATGCAAGTACCTCTCCCATTCAGTAACACGTTCACACTCCAACCCCACAAACACGTGCACTTCGATCCCTACAAGTATGGGGTGGGGGCGGGGGGAGGGGGAGGTAAGAGTGTAATCTTCTAGTTTCTTGCTTCAGACCTTTGAATAAGAGGGAACGAAACAAAAAATACAGATGTTCTGTGATTTTTCAAAATGTAAATCTCAAATGTATTGTGAATTATAAAAAAATATAGAGCACATCCTGCCTGCTTAAAACTGGCACCATACATCCTTACAGCCAAATATGCACATACACAGTGCTCTCAGAGTAACACAATCGGGAGAGGGAGGGGGTGAAGCATGATTTTTCTGGCTGTAGCAGGAGGTGCAAGTAGCTTTTGAGTAAATTCCAAACCTTGTTAACCTTTATAGTAAATTCCAAACCTTGTTCTTTTATAGTTTGTTAAAAAAAAATCAAAAAACCACCCTCCCTCAAAAGCTGACCACAAGAAAGATGGACTTTAAGCCAAGTTTAGCCGTCTTTGAACTAAGATGAAAATAAGAATGTGAGGAACTATAACCTTTTGGAGCACGGCTAAGAAATGACTGAACTAGATTATCTTTCTGTTCCACATGATTCTTGTGTTCTACAACAAGACCCCTTTTACAAGCTCATACAGCTGCTTTAGCAAAGTTAAGATGGAGATAGAGATAGATAGAGATATATATATATATATATATATATCTATATAATTTCGATTTTTTTAATAATTCACAATACGTTTATGATTAATTTATCATCAGTAGCAAAGGACAGAGTAAACCACATGATCCAAGCACGTTTGTGTGGACACGCGGCAGGATTTTTATTATTATTTTTTTTCACTTCTGTCATTTTGTTTTGCAGTGTGTTTATTTGTTTATAGTTGGGTCAAACTATGTTTATAGGAGGTGAAGTGTAGATTTACATTAGTGTGTATTTAATTGGCTTGCACTTTTGGGTGTTAAAGGAAAACTATAGTTTTAGGAATGCAAAACGGTCTTCCTTGTACATAGTGCCCCACCTTGTGCCCCCCACCCATTGGCAAATACATGATGACCCTTTTTACACTTACAAGATTTCAGTGATGATTTCCCAGCACTTCTCCGCTAACATCAGGCAATAGGAGAACCTAATTTGCATGTGTATAAATACGCAATAGAAGATAATAAAATGTGGTCAGGTCGGCCTGTACTCGGAAAACTAAATTGTAAACACAGACGCCAATAATTAAGACCTTCAAATATCAAAAGGTGTAAGGAGGAAATGCCTCTAGTGCCTGACAGCCATCAAAAAACACAATGTCTATTCACCAAGACGATAACATTAAGTTGTAGTGGCTTTGTTACTTTGTGTGCCCCTTTTTAGCTGGAAAGTATCATGGTCAGGGATAACGTCAGGGCCCCTTTACAGAATCAGATGTTATAAATCTGTCCAACCTTGAAACCTATGGGAGTATTTGCTGAAAACAATAGCTATTTTATTGCTGAATCCCGTGTTTAAACACATAGCCTTGAGTATTTTTCATTTGAAATGATTATTTTTCAACTCTGAACAAGTGCTTGCCTGTTGTAACACTGGTATAACATCCAGTTTTTACAGCATGGCCTTGTAGGGTATAGCAGAACTGGCAGTGAGGCCTTTGATAAATGAGGTCATTATAAACTCTGCTGAAACAAGATTTCATTGCTGCTCAATTGCAAACACACACTTTATGGAGTTCAATGTTATTCTCTTGCAAATCCCCCCTCTATTCTTAATGGATTGCAGTATATTGACACAAAACGTGAGGGGGGGGGGAGAGAGAGTGTGTCACAGCAGTGGTACTCTTCTGACAGACTGTATGCAAGATTTACTTGATCTCTTTGAAACGCATATTTATAAAAAGTGAGATGGCTTCCCAGGGGAAAGTGTTTATTTTATTTCCAAAATAGTTACCAGGTATCCAGGAAAGGGAAAAATGTGGCTCTCTCCCATAAAAATTTCAAGGAAAAGTCAAGAATGCAACTAAGAAAAAAAAAAAGAAGAATTGTTTTCTGATATGATATTGCTTAAAGGGACACTATAGTCACCAGAACAACTACAGCTTATTGAATTTGTTCTGGTGAGTAGAATCATTACCTTCAGGTTATTTTGCTGTAAACACTGTCTTTTCAGAGAAAATGCAGTGTTTACATTACAGCCTAGTGATAACTTCACTGGCCACTCCTCAGATGGCTGTTAGAGATCCTTCCTGGGTTATGGCTGCCTAAAATGCATCCAAACATTCAGTATCTCCTCCCTCTGCATGCAGACACTGAACTTTCCTCATAGAGATTCATTGATTCAATTCATCTCTATGAGGTGATGCTGATTGGCCAGGGCTGTGTTTGAATCATGCTGGCTCTGCCCCTGATCTGCCTCCTTGTCAGTCTCAGCCAATCCTATGGGGAAGCCACCACTTCAATGATGTCAGCAGACTGCTTGTTTTTCCTGAGTCTAACAGCATGCAGAGTTACAGCTTCAGGCTTGAATACAGGAAGATTTTTACTATATTTATGGAGGCATGAGGGGCCCAGGGGGGCTAGATGGTGGTTTTAACACTATATGGTCAGGAATACATGTTAGTGTTCCTGACCCTATAGTGCTACTTTAAATAAGTATTGTACATTGTTTATATTTCGTTTTTTGACTAGTTTCTAGTTTTAGTGAAATTTCAACAGTCTTTATGAGAATTTCAGAAAGATTTTATATTATTATTATCACCATTTATATAGCTCCACCCAGAGCCATCTTCTTGTCGTCTTCAGGATTCCGGTACTGACCACACCATCTTCAGGAAACCAGGAGACTAGTGGGAAAACCCAAGGTGTCCTCTTCTCCATGATGAAACATGTAACACTCTGCACTGGATGTTCACATAGCAGCCTTACCCTCAGTTTATAGGTGGTCTTGGGTACCCTGCATTTAAATATACATATGTGAATATATCCATTTATCTCTATTTCACACAAAGCAAACTAGTCCAAATAAAAATGTAAAATAGGTGGTTTGATGTCTAATTTAAACATGCCTGTAGTAAAGGCAGCGTGCTTTGCTCCTTTCCATAACTGTGCTATTGATGACCAGGTATATACTTGTTATCCAATATTATCAATAGAATAAATACATTGTATCCTAAAGAAATCATTTGTAATAGTGGTTAAACAGATCCAAATATTTATATCAGGTTTTCAGTTTATTGAAAGGACAGAATATTCTCCTAGCATGTTTTATTGTTGAGATTTTATTTTTTTCACGCACCCCTTTGATTTCTTTTCTGGAAAGAACACTAATCTTCTGTAATTGCAATCGCTTTAAAATCAGATTAGCTTCCATGGCAAAATTGTGCTTGAAAACAAAGCAGTTTGTCTGAAGTGAGCATCACAGTCTCATACTATATATGGGCCTCTGGTAAGTGCTGGTTATATTTATAACACTGGCTTGTTGGAGTACTTGCAGTGTCAGAACAAATGCTGTTTTGGAATCTCTCCAGTTTCTTAAAGGCAGATTTTTCTTCTCCTTACATATCCAAGCATTAGAATATTCCCAGTCTGTTAGTGCTGGAGAGCTATTCTAGCAGGTGTTTTATAAAAGGAATTTGCATCTCACACACTTCCCTTTCCTACAGAAAGTAAACAAATAGTCAACACGGGGCCTAGACAAAAAGTGTTGCAACATGAAAAGTAGCAATAATATGGGTAAAGGAGGTTTAAACGTTTAGCTCTGCAATTGCTCGAGATAAATAATGTGGAGCAATCACCATGAAAACAAATGGAACGTTCCTGGTGATTGACCCCACATGGTATGAATAATATACAATTCGGGTGTAACGTCAAGTTAAGAACTGCAATATAAAATATAATATAAACTGAAACACTGTGTGTTTTTTATTTTAATGTCTGCTTAACTACATTCTAGCACTTTAAACATATGTGGCATTCTCCAGACTTTTAGATGGTATTACTTCGCATTACTCTAAATTTTACTTCTTGCAATGGAGGAGTGTCAGGACAAACTACACAATGGTGGTTGTGGTGTTCCTTTAACAGATGATGAGTATGTCGGCAAGCAATGTCTGAAAACTGTCTTAAAGTGGAACTGTCAAGATTGTGTTTATTTTTTAGGTTTTATAATAATCATCCTTATCAGTACTACTGACATTAGGCTTTTGCAAAAAATCACAAACAAAATGATGTAGTAAGTCTTGCTGCCATTTTTCAGAGTTGTTACCATGCAAGTTCCTTATGAAATTCCTCTTACTATTCCTCCTTTCTTTATCTAATATTAATCCTGCTATATAAAAGGCATTTTAGGAGTAAGTCTGCATTGACCTCTGTGAGGCTCCTGCCTAGTGTTTTGGAGTTTTTCCAATAAGGCATATTGTGTATTCGTTTGGGGGGATTTTGGACTTATTCCATGACCGAAGGTGGACATGAAAGCAATACAAACTGTTGCAGTTAATTGGTGTGCAGTTTATTTTCTTTTTCATTTTTTCATCTTTGTGGGTCAGCAGAAAGATTACAGTAGACCATGTGTAGATAAGCAGTGACATGCATAAGAAAAATCATAATGAAAAGAACACATGAGGATCGATCCTATTTTAAATTATGTAACACTACATAAAACAATCCTGTTTCTGGTCCATATGGTGGGTAAAAGCAGGTGGACGGAGGGTGCACTTATTGAACTGTACCTGCCAGATAGTATCTCACGTAACAGGAATTACCGGTCTTACTAAAGGCATGTATGAGAGGTGTAAAGATCTACTGTACTTAAAAACCTCCAACAAGTTCTAGTAATAAGCTGTTTTGTGCCAAAATAAACTAATAATTCACTGAGCAGTATGCCCTGGACACAGCCGTATATTGACCTGTTCCATTCTGATTTCAGGATGTGGAAAAGGAAAGAGATCCACTGTCGTACCTCAGTAAAGAAGAAACCAAAGAGAAGATCCAACTTTATAATTCAGAAGTTACTGACAAATTGAGAATGACCTTGGTAAGAATATTCTTCCTGCTCCCAGTAACAACCCGTGTCTGTCATTTACTAAGGAATAATAATGAAATGCCATGGGGAATAAATGAAACCGACATAGCTGAGATTTTGGAAGGGATCACATACATAAATCTTCTTTTTGGGGGCTATAGCTATAATATCTTGATTACCGCAACAATGGTCTAGTGGGCTGCCTTCTCAGTTATCTTTCCCTCTGGGGTCTGTTATGAAGACTTCAGCCTAGACTCCTTTATCTCATTTTCATATGCAACGGCCCCATATCTGCTAGACCTCTCATTGACTTCCCTGTATTTCCAAAATAAAATTAATCCATTACCGGAAAGAACCTTTGCCTTAATATAACATTTATTGAAATTCCGGTGTGGTGTGTCTAGGCAGAAGATAAATTTAAAAGACTGGATCTGTTCAATTGCCTTGTACTTCTTATCACTTGGTTACAGTATGTCACCGTTTGTGTATTGCATTGTAACTATAGGTAAATACAAGATTTGAGGAGTTCAGAAACTTAAACCTTTTTAAATCAATTAGTGTATGTGTCATGCTTATTTATTATTTAAGTTCACTGTATCGCAGAGTGAAAAAGTAAAGTGCCTTTTAGGTGCTTCTGAAAAACATAATGCTTTTGTGAGATTTTTTTGTTTTGTTGTTAAAGTGTTACTTCAAGCACTATGACCACTCAAGTATTTTGAAGTGGTCATGGTGCTTGAAATTTGTATGTGCTGTTTTTCAGTTTGAATTGCTGCACATACTGAAATATTCTAAATTGTTATACATAGGCTGAGATTGCTCAGCTGACTTGCAGGATTAGCAGCTCTGCATCTGCATTACCCGCCATTAGAGGAGGATTGGTATCTTGCAGGACAGGCAAGAGAGCAAAGCATTGCTAAACATTTTGCCCCATTACTGTGTAACAGCACATGGCTACTCCTAGCATCATAATACTACATGCATAATACACATGTTTAAATACATAAATGTGTTGGTAAAATCTTAAATCTTTAACTCTTCCTTTTTTATTCCGCTCAGAATTCCACTGGCATTTATACGGGTTTCATTAAAGTTCAGATGGAGCTCAGACGACCTATCACTGTACGGACTCGCACAAATGCTCACAGCAACAGCAATGAGACCGCCTTCTATATGCCCAAGGACAACATAAATATTCTGCACATCAGCAGTACCAACACTGTGCGCGAAGTCATCGAGGCCTTGCTGAAAAAGTTCTTGGTAGCTGACAATCCCGCCAAGTTTGCACTTTACAAGCGCTGTCAGAAGGAGGATCAAGGTGCAGTGACTTCTTTAATTTATGCCTTCATTCCATCTGTGCAATATTTACTGCCGACAGTGTTGTTGTCCAATACTCCTGATATTCTCTGGTGGTCTAATTTGCAAGCTGAGGTTTGAAAATCTTCATCAATTTAGGTTTGCTTTAGTATGCCCAGGGTGATCTGACCGTTTATAATTACTGAAACCACTGTGTCTGCATTTTAAAATATCCTTCATATAAGATCATCCAGGTTCACACAAAAGTTAGGAGCAAAACAAAATTGTATCTAATTGGCAACACTCGTGTTCACTTTATCTTCTCACAAACCTAATTATCTCATAACCATACCTATGGAGCCACTGATACACATACCAAGCTAGCATTTACATTCACACATTAATTATTATTTGCACCCTAACCTAATTAGCAAGGCACATACTTTCATAAATGCACACGGTTGCATAACTAGACACTAATTTGGAATTTATTTATAAATTGCCAAACCTCCTTACCAGCAAAACATCCCATCGCCTTGATGATCACAAAAACACTCTGGTTTTAGAGCTCCCTTTACACTCCTGAGCACTTTGATATTAATAAATCCACGGAAAAGCCATGCTCCACCAAACAAATGCTCATAGCGAAGCATTTGGTGATTTTCATTACGCACAACACGGTGGTGCTGTATATTTGTAGTGACCAAAGGTCTTCAATGTGGAACCACCCTTTGGTGGCCATCAGTTACTCGTAAACAGAAATGTTTTTACATTATACTCCTCCCAAAAAAGAGGAGCAGGTGGTCTATACACCAAAACAACTTAATTGTGACAGTATGTGGTTTTGGTGTTTAGTGTCCCCTTTAAAACATGTTGTGGTAACTTTTTATATATATATATATATACTGGAAAATGTTGAACAAATGGGATCGTGCTTAGTATTAGAAATGGCACCCTATTATTTTTGTCTGATTTACGCTGTTGTATATTTGGATTGCGGTATTTGAACAGCAAAACACATTGTGACATTGAACTGTAAATGCATGTACAAATTATAACAATAAGCCATATATTATTATAACTCTTTATTTCCTTATGGGGGGCCAGCAATATAATGGTAAATTGCTCAGCCCTTTAGGCAAAGCCTTACTTAGATATACAGTTCTTGAACTCCTTACACTACTGGATGACCTAAGCATATTGTATATAATGGCAAGTACTGTCTGGTGCATGTAGCTATAAGCCCCATGAACAATAATAGTCCAATAAAATGGAATAATGTCCCAAACGCCTGTTTTTATAAATATTTAATAATTCTGGGTTAGTCTCTCTGCCATGTTCCCAAGATGTGCATTTTTCTGATGATGCTCTTGTGTATTTTTGCACATTATCTCGTCTCCTTGCCATAACTTGAATACATGCCAAGATATTAATGCTTTTTAAAAAATTATTATTAGTGTTATTTATAAGCCACCAATAAATTTAACAGCGCTTTACAATAGGCAGACTAACAAACCAGTACCAGCCATTACCCCCTAAAGGTACAATGTAACCCTGGGTTTACGATGCCCTCCTACTTAACATGTCTGTATTTTGTTTTTTTTCCCCCCACCTATGTAGTGTACCTGTGTCGGCTGTCTGACAGGGAACACCCACTGTACCTTCGTTTGGTAGCTGGGCCCAGTCTTGAGACCCTTGGCTTTGTTCTGCGGGAACATGAAACTGGAGATGTCATGGTAAGATAAATTTTTATTGCAGTTTGTTGGAGATTTAAAATGCTGTAAGAAACTTGCATAAGATGGCTTCTTGGTGTGATGTACAAAATCTAATTGCAGCAAAATCAATTGTTTATATTTGTTGGTATACAATAATGAATTATTTACTGTTACAGATTAATAGTGCCTGCTCAAAATCCTGCTTGAGGTGGGTTTATTGGTAAATCGTTTGCATTAGCAGATTATGACCAATCCTATCTAAGCAATTTACTTTGATCTCATTTTTACAGACTTAATCACTCATTCTCCCATCAGATAAATGTGCATTGTTTGTTACATTTGTCTAAATTTATTTGAAGTTTCTGTAATAAACTAGACATTACTTGAATTAACCGGCTTATTTGTGCTAGTAATGCAATCAAAAACAAATAGTCCTCTTACATTTAATTTGGTCAAGTGCGTTTTTGGCCAGTTAAAACCAGTAATTTGTAAATCCTAGACTACTAGTGGAATTGGATTACAACTCATACCTCCCAATACTGTTGGGTATGAAATTAGGACATATGGGGTGTTGTGGAATGAGTCTGTGCCAGCGACACAGTGCCTACCACTTTTGACTTGCAGTGGCATGTAAGCTAGGCTAAACAGTCCATTCATCTAACCTGTTTTACTCATGCACAAAGACAGTCTGCAAAGGCTTGTGCACTGTGTGCTGGATTAGTAATGCGTTTGCCTTTTGTTTTGGAGAAGTGGAGTGACTGATGTCATTCCATGCCGACACAAATGTGTTTGTACTGAAGTCAATGTGTCAATGGCTTTGAGGTGATTGCCCTGCTTGGGCCACTGTACAGAAGTTAAATATTCATGGGCCTTGAGAATGATTGCATTGAATGATAGAGAGATGGTAAGTATAGACAAGCTCCTAAAGCAAGAACTACTGTGATCTCATTAATCACAATATTAAATGATATACCTGATGCTTTAGGAGCTGTTATATCAGTAGTTGAACCTGGCATGGCAGGCTCACTTTGATGGGATATTGTCAAAGAAATAAAGATGAAGTGGGCTCGCAGGTTCTAACAAATATTTCACAGTAACCTTGCCACCGGAGAGTTTATCCATCCACCGGGCTCTGCAGAGATGCTGACCTTTTGTCAACTCTGAATTTTTCAAATTGCCGCTTTTAAACTTAGAGGAGCCATGACACAGTTTGAGTAAATGGGGGTTGATAATGTTTTAGAGCAGTGGTTCCCAACCTTTTTTTTCACTTGAGAACCCCTTGGCAGTCCATTTCCAAAAATTGTACCCCTCATATTGGTGAAATGTTTATTAATATAGTTGCGATTATTTTAATTGTATAAGTTTTCTCTGCCCCATCACCCCCTCTTCTCCTCCCAGGCTCTCCCTGCTCCCTCTCTGCCACAGGCTCTCCTTGCTCCCCATTTTGCCCAAAGCTCCCCCTGCTTCTTTTCTGGTGTGGGGGCGGGGCTGCTGCGCGAGTAGCCAATCCCGAAATAGAAGATTGAAACCCTAAGCATGCATATCACACACATCCCGTCAGGCCCCAACATGTAATCTGGCAGCTGCCCTGGATTGATCCTGTGGAAGTTCCGCCATTATAGAAATTCTTTCGCGTACCCCCAGGGGAGCTGAATTGTACCCCTGGGGGTACACATACCACAGGTTGGGGAGGACAGTTGTTACTCTCTGTGAGTGGGAGAGAATGGAATTATATGTAGGGCTGCAGGTTTAGATCAAGTCAACTAACCTTACAAGTATTAATGGCAATTTGCATGTACTCTCCAACTGAGATTTTCCAACGGAGAAGAGTTGCTGCCCATGTATTAGGGAACTTTAATAGTGTGTAGTTTTTAATGGGATGGTATAGTGCTAGGAATACAAAGCTGTATTCCTAGCACTATTGTTCCCTCTGCACCCCTCCCTCACGGGTCTGCAATGCTCTGCGATGGGGATTTTACCGACACTGGATGTCCTCATGCGTAGCATTAAAACGTCCAGCGTCAGGCTACCTATAGCTGTCTAACAAGCAGGAACTGCCTCTAGTAGTGTCTGACAGCCTCTAGAGCCAGTCCTAACCCTGCAATGCAATTATTGCAGTTTATTAGGAACCTGAAATATTTAACATTGCAGGGTTAAAAGGAACAGACACTGCACCCAAACCACTTCAATGAGTGTCCCTTTATGAGGATAAGTGTGTGTGCGTGTAGCAGTGTATAGTATTCCAAAAGAGTGTGTGTGTGTGTGTGTGTTTACACCCATTTTGAGGGAGAAAGTACATAAGTGCAATTTGTGAGCATATACTGGCATATGCCTAGGGTAACATTAATCTAGTATATTGACTAATCTTCTAATGTCCAATCAGGGTGGCACAGATTAGAAACATTTTCTATAAAATGCTTTGAATAGTTTTATCTGGTGGCTCAATGACCACATTACTTTTTATTGTAAAAAATAAGAGAAAATACTTTGAGTAACACTTGGGCTGTCTTTAATTCTTGCAGTGGGGAGCCTTCAGTCTCCCAGAACTACAGAACTTCTTACGGATCTTGGATAAAGAGGAGGAGGAGCAGCGTCAGAGCTTAAGGAGGCGTTACGCATCCTACAAGGAGAAACTGGAAGAAGCTTTGAGTGGAGCACGTAAACCTGGCTAAACGACTGACGAAGCAGACTTTCATACTGTCATTCGTTACAGCATGACTGAGCAGCAGCATTTGATTGCAATCTGTTCAACAGACAGTTCCTTACAGGGGAATTGTTCCCTCGGAGACGTCTATATGGAATTTGAGAAAATGTATCCCCTTCCCAAAACTGGTTATTCTGGTTAAGGTTTACACCAAGTGTCATCAGGACTCCACAGGTCACCGCCTTTACAGAAGGTGACTGCACTAGACAATCCAAAACTGAAATCATTTTTACATGATTTTATTTTATTTTTTCATTATTTTTAATGTAAATTATTAAATAGCTTTAAGTCTAAGATTTCTTATGATTGTGTTTATGGAAACAAAATGTCAGCAAATTGAATTTCTATGAAATATAAAGCAAATGCTTTGTTAATTTGCTTGTTAAAGTTGAGGAGTATCGGGCAAGTACTTGCCTGACAAACTGGAAACCTGAACGTTCACATGAATGTATGAAGGTTACCAGAGCAGTCAGTGGCAAAAGGGGAAATGGAATGTGAAGAGATGGTTGGAGAAGTGATAGAGAGATTGGAGTGATGTAGGACCTTTGGTTAAATTGAACAGAGATCGAATTCTTAACAAAACTTACTGTGCTAATGTACAACTATGCATTTAATGCAAAATGCAGCTAATGGGGCTTTTGTTTGCCCTCTGTATGTGTATTTGCGTTGCTAAGTAAGAACGTTTTAAAGTTAAATGAAGCAATGTTTGGAGGAAAACAGGTGTCAGACCCCCAGGGTGGGCAGTGCATGTAGCAAAAGGCGAGTGATGGTGGGTTTTGGATTGCTAATACAGAGTCGTTGAGCTGCTGGTTTTCCGTATGTAGTGTTGGAGGGCCCGAGGACTTGTACCTATGTTTTTGTGATGCTGCAGTATTTTATAGGATAGTTCAGGCTAGGTGCTGCTTACCACAGACTTAGAGTGGCAGAAAAATAATTATTATTGATCAGGTCTGCCTATCAATTTATTTATTTTTTGATCTTCTTGTACTTGCATTGACCACAATGACATAGGCTTTCGATTTGGTTTTGACTGAGTTACAAAGCATTCTGCAAATGAACAACACATCTGCTTAGTAACTAAATATAAGAAAGCATGAGGAAATGCATGTTGGAAACCAAAGAACAAGCAAATCAAAATCTGTATTATGTAGCATTATTTTTTATTTTTATTTAATTTGTTTTCTTCAGCATATGAATTGCTTTTTTTATGACATTCAATGTTTTAAGAGTCTTTGTTTTATTCTATCTCTCAGTGGAGGGGTCGTTTACTTTGTAGTTCATGTGGATCTGGTGCATACTCTAATATTATGGTAGAGATGTGGCTTAAGAGCGCCTCCCAGTGGCCAGTTTTTGGTCTTCGGTAAAGTTGCCTTCATATTGGGAATGGACTGCTATGAATTTCTATATACTTGCATCTAGAAAGCAGGATACAGTTGATCAGTTGGATAGATTTATTTATTTTATTCTTCAATATTTATATACAGGGAAGAATCCAGCCATTTACCATGTAGATTTTTTTTTTTAAAAGCAGTTTTTTGTTTTAGTTTTGTTCGTTTATTTATTAAAAAAAACTTGTTGGCAGTTTTGTTTTTTTTCACTGGCATGTATGACATTATATATCCTGTGTGTGCCGTTTCAGAGGCAATATAAGCCACTTCAGTACATTATATTCAGTCACAGTTTTCTCACATTGTTGAAGTATTAGTTGTCTCAATGTTTTAACCACTGTTATGTTGGCAATCGTGTTGCAATTGAGTACAATCTGTGCTGAATGTTTTGTATCACTTGGCCTTACCTGTAACTAGAGGAGCCAGCAACAAATTGCCTCTGGTGGATAAGGGGTTATAACGAGGTGCTGCACACATCTAGCTAGGCCCAGACTTAATAAATGCTGCTATGCCTTACAATGCCTTCCCTCATTCATGCAAATGGGGATAAAAGCTTGGCACCATTTAAGAATCTGGGACCCTATCCTGCACCTTAAATCAGAGTAGTGCAGTGTAGTATACAAAATGACACAAACACCTCAGGGAAGGGAAGGATTTCCACAGTAAGTTAGCAGATTCCTTTCAATTTAAACATACTGGGCCATATTTTTTATCAGTGGAAACAAAGTATTGTCCTTGTAGTTCTGATATATATTTTTTGGTCTTTTTTTTTTAAATTTATTTTTTTGCTGCAGTGCAATGGTTGTTGTACCCTTGGCACCCCCAGATGTTTCCAAACCCAGTGATGCCCATAAGCCATCTGATCATTGAGGAATATGACGTTTGGGAACATCTTGGGTTGGCAGTGTTGCACTTTAGAATTACCTTTACTTTTTTCCCCTGATAGATATGGAATATTTCTTAGGTGGTAGACTTCATACTTTGTTTCTTATCTGAGATATATTAAAGATTTATAAACTGTGAATTTTAATTTTTTTTAATTTTATTTTTTACTTGAAATATATGATCTTGGGCATATCCAGTGCATTAGTTGTAAACCTATTCAGCAATGTCTTATGCACTACATTATATCCCTATATGGACACATTACTGTATCAACGTGTTAAATGTCCACAGTCCTGCTTTGTTTTATTTTAAACCTGTAATTTAATTGAACGCCTTGTAAAGGAAAATTGTTATTGCGATGTGTGCTAATTTGCATGTCTTACCCACTGCCCTTTGCAGTTACAGTGTGTTTTACTGGGTGACCGTATAGCAGCAGGAAAACCTTTTATGCAGTAAAAAAACAAACCATCACTGGAAAAATATTTAATCTGCACAAATTGTAAGATTGAACACACTGGTCTCACCATCAACATGTAGGGGAACTAAGGGAATGGGATTATGAACAGAGATTTATTAAGGTCTTAAATACTGAAAGACTGATATTGCAATGCAATATGGTTTCTAATATATATAGTATTTGATGGTACAAGAAAGTTTTAAATTAGATTTTGGGATGCTTTATAAAAAAAAAAATGAAATCAAACTTATTTATAATTTGAGGGGTTGGAAAAGGGGTTTTATATATAGGGAATTGATTTCCTTAAAATTGCAGCTGGCAGTGCTGGATCTCTTGTTTTTAAATGAATTTTTGTTTTTGTTTTTAGTTTTCAAAGGTTCCACCAACATATCTGTCATGACTGTCCAATAAAATAGACTGAAATCTGCAAGTGTTTTTTTCTGTATTTGTTGTGTGAATGAGTTATTCTGGTCTCATGAGGATTATAAAAGTAGTTCTGCAGACTACACAGTAAATAAGCACTTTATCACCAACAAGAGAGTTTATATTTCAGGGTCTTGTCAAACTCAATTGGATTATTGAACTTCTCTAGCTGCCGATATCGAATTCACAGACACACAGTGATGGGTGACAAAACAGTTTAATTAGTAAAACATTTTTCTTTTTTTGTGGAAGTGTCCTGACCATTATAACTATGCGATGCAGTGCAACAGATACCTACAAATAAATTTACAAATGCAAGTAGGTTCCTGGAGTCCATATGTTCGTGCTTTCAAAGGGAAATGCTGCACATACAAAGTTTAAATGGGGGGAGAGGGGGGGTAATTTTACTTCGCACTAAAACACCCAATAATTTTGTGGAAAATACAGTGAGGATATGAATAAGAAATGATTACCCTTATGCACTGTAGTTCTACAAATAAAACTCGACTCCTCTAGGTCAACAATATCCAGCTAATAGAACCAATGTATATCTACAAATTAAAAATGTTTTTTGAATAGTACTGTGAGCATACCACACATACAGGAATAAACCAGATGCACTCACAAACCCACATAACTGAGAACACTTCTAATTGAAAACCAAACATCGGCATGGAAATTAAAAATAAAGTATGACCACATCAGCGTAAAGGCAGGATGTATAGAAAGAAAGGATCCACCTACATCGAGACTACCTCCTTTCTCTTCCAATAATGCACAAATAGTAATGTATAAATAGTAATTCAAAAAAATCAACAATGAACAAGCTCACAGTCTACAGCCCTAAACGTTTAGTTCAATAGGATGACCTTCCTCGGGGTCAATTTGCCCGGTGTTGGGGCTGGTTGTAACAGGCTTGTGGGCTTAAGCAGTGTGGTATCAGCTGTTGCAGCGGCATCCTGCATCTTCTCCTGCTCCTATGCACCACCCGGCACTAGGAAGGAAACCAACGCATTTGATGACGTTCAGCAGAGCGGACCTTGGGTGACGTGACTCGGTCTACAGGAGTCTGGGTAACTCTTGCTGTTCAAAGTGTTGCCCATGCTCGTTCTTCTACAGCTGACTAAAAGCGCTCAAAGATTTGGTCGAACTTCAGCAAGGATCCGGCGACAAAGTCAATTGGATGTGGTGACATTATGTGTAGGTCAGGAGTGGTTGTGTTCACCATCTTGACAGGAACAGCTTTGTGTTGAAGGTAAGTGAATGCGCTCGGTCACCCTCACTATTGACCCAGCAGGGACCGGGATGACCCCCACTGGCCCAAAGGGGTGGTGGGAATGGGGCAACAAGAGGGTTCTGCACCGGGGCTGTGTTGGACAGGAGAGCAGCCACCCGATGCCTTCACTAGGCCTCGCCTAGGGATTTAGGAATTAAGAGTGGTTCACGGGTAAAATGCCATGCAGAACTTGAAAAACAACATTTCTTATTTTTTTTTCAAACTTTTTTGATTTTTTTTTTTCATATAAAATTGAGTTCCATATATGCATATTTGATATAAAATGAAAGCTCTGTTTCTCTGGAAAAAAACAATATATAATAAGTGTGGGTGCATGTAATATGAAAGAGGTAAATTATTGTTGAACAGACATATAGTCAAATTCTGTGGTTTGCTTTAAAAAAAAATATATATTTTTTTTTTATCTTTTTAATATATTTATTGAAAGATTTTTTTGAAATTTTATCTTGTACACATAGACATCGTATAACGTACAGCAAAATTAGAAAAATAAATAATATGTAAAGACTCAATTTACA